AATTTCCAAATTCTGATCAGACACTTGAAATGACCCTCAAAATTAAAGTCCATTTCAAATAAAGCTGCCCTTTAGGTGTTTCGGTTTGAATTCGCCCACTTTAGACATACGGAATGAATTTTCAAGCGTCAAATCTCCTCAACAGTTTGAGAATACTCACCAAAAATTTCAAAAAACTGGTCAGACACTTGAAATACCCCTCAAAATGAAAGTCCATTTCACATAAAACTTCGCTTTAAATTTTTGGGCTTGAATTCACCCACTTTAGACGTACGGAATGAATTTTCAATGCTCAAATTTCCTCGAAAGTTTGAGAATATTCACAAAAAATTTCAAAAATCTGGTCAGACACTTGAAATGACCCTCAAAATTAAAGTCCATTTCAAATAAAGCTGCCCTTTAGGTGTTTCGGTTTGAATTCGCCCACTTTAGACGTTCGGATTGAATTTTCAAGCGTCATATTTCAAAATTGATCCGGAAGTTTAAGAATATTCACCAAAAATTTTAAAATTCAGGTCAGACGCTTGAAATGACCCTCAAAATTAAAGTCCATTTCAAATCAAGCTGCCCTTTAGGTGTTTCGGTTTGAATTCGCCCACTTTAGACGTTCGGATTGAATTTTCTAGCGTCATATTTCAAAATTGATCCGGAAGTTTAAGAATATTCACAAAAAATGTTAAAATTCAGGTCAGACGCTTGAAACACCCCTCAAATTTAAAGTCCATTTCACATAAAACTTCGCTTTAAAATTTTGGGCTTGAATTCACCCACTTTAGACGTACGAATTGAATTTTCAAGCGTCAAATTTCAAAATTCATCCAGAAGTTTGAAATTATTCACCAAAAATTAAATAAAATAAATAAAATAAAATAAATTAAATAAATAAAATAAACAAACTAATTATCAGGCATTGCTCCGTCAATAATTGCTTGTATAAACGTAGTTTCAATAAATCAATAAATACATCCAGGTAGGTAAATATAAAAAATCCCGGATTTAGCTTAAATTGACGACCACCTGCGCCCTTTTACCCCATTACGCGAGAACCTGTATCTGAAAAACCACTCGCCGCATGCATATAATGGTCCAATTAGCATTTTCAATCCCTCATTTATTCAAATTAATTCCTCGCTCCGCTTTGATTACGCTTACGGTCCCCATTTATTATCAGCTAATTAGCAACAATGAGTAAGGAAATTCCGCAATTGACGAAAATTAACTTTTCATTCCTACGCGCCCGTTTAATAGGTCAATGTTATGCGAAAGTGCATAGTGTGTAATGTGTAAAAATAAAGACGGCGTCAATTGTGTAATTCGTGAACGAAAGCGTGACAATTGTGTTAATAAGCGGGGAGTCGGCGAACGGGTTTGTTTTTGTTGCTATTTATAATTAATTGTATATAAACATAGCAATTAGACCAATTGCGACGTTGCGAGATTATTATTAGATTTGGTTTTTAATCTTAATCAGAATTAAATATAGATTGAATTTGCTCAGGCGTCGCAGTTATTGATTGGCGCGCCGCGCTTGTGGCGCAGCGCCATCTCTCGCAAAACCGCTAAGTCTGCAGCAGTTTTCTGTCGTGTGTTCTGCAATTAGTTTACAGAGGGCACTAGTGTACCGGCATTGATTATTCTCAGCATTCTCATTGGATCATAACAAGTGACGTAACTGAATGAATTGAAATTATGTAGAATTAAATTAAAATCGCAATTTAATTCAAATAATTCGAATTTGTCGAAATTAAATTAATACTAATTATCCCCTAGACACATTGGTGATAATTTCCTATCTCAAAACATTTCCTAAGGAAATGCAACAAGAGTTTTCTGAACTTTCGAGAACGCGATTTTAATGAAACGGAATGTATTAGGTTTCTCGCGGATCGGTTGGCGAGACAAGGATGGCCAACCTCTCCAGCCGAGAGTGTAGTAAAAAGGTCGTTTGTCTCGCAATGGAACCCGACTGGCTGGCACCCGGAAAACACGCATTCACCCCCGTTAACGGATATGTTTTAACGTAAAGTTTCGGTTGCAGTTTTCGGGCGTGCTTTTTGGACAGTTTCCAAATTGGAATGAGGTTTGTAGTTACATCGATCTGGATACGCCTTTTTTTGCTTATTTTCGCGCTAACTCGATTTGTAACGCCTCTATCGTGTACGTGTGTTCTTTGTCGAGTGACATCTCGTAGTGGGCGACGTGGGTGGTTCCCTGGGGTAAAGGAAATGAAGCTCGAGATGCCTCTAAGATCAGGCAATAAAAGGAACATCGCGTGTTTTCTATTTCAGAGTAAATTCTTAATCGAATAAGATAGCATTTCACCAATTCCGAATGGAAAAACGTCAATTTTGGAACATAACCGAATTTCCCGAAGTCGCTTGTGGACAATCCCATAAATTTTTTGAGCTTAGAGTTACTAACAATTTCTCCAGACTTCTAAAGGACGTACGTCGATTTTTGAAGCATCAAAGTCCGCAAAAGCATCTATTTTTCAATATAAATTCAAAAAGCGATTTTAATTGAGAATGAAAAATATTATTTTTCGCTTGTGAACATTCCCATAACTTCTCGTGAAGTTTTGGGAGTGCATTTAGAGTTACTAACAATTTCTCCAAACTTCTAAAGGACGTACGTCGATTTTTAAAGCATCAAAATCCGCAATAGCGTCTATTTCTCAATATAAATTCAATAGGCGATTTTAATTGAGAATGAAAAATATTATTTTTCGCTTGTGAACATTCCCATAACTTCTCGTGAAGTTTTAGGAGTGCAATTAGAGTTACTAACAGTTTCGCCAGGCTTCTAAAGGACGTACGTCGATTTTTTAAGCATCAAAATCCGCAATAGCGTCTATTTCTCAATATAAATTCAAAAGGCGATTTTAATTGAGAATGAAAAATATTATTTTTCGCTTGTGAACATTCCCATAACTTCTCGTGAAGTTTTGGGAGTGCAATTAGAGTTACTAACAATTTCTCCAGACTTCGAAAGGACGTACGTCGATTTTTAAAGCATCAAAATCCGCAATAGCGTCTATTTCTCAATATAAATTCAATAGGCGATTTTAATTGAGAATGAAAAATATTATTTTTCGCTTGTGAACATTCCCATAACTTCTCGTGAAGTTTTAGGAGTGCAATTAGAGTTACTAACAGTTTCGCCAGGCTTCTAAAGGACGTACGTCGATTTTTTAAGCATCAAAATCCGCAATAGCGTCTATTTCTCAATATAAATTCAAAAGGCGATTTTAATTGAGAATGAAAAATATTATTTTTCGCTTGTGAACATTCCCATAACTTCTCGTGAAGTTTTGGGAGTGCATTTAGAGTTACTAACAATTTCTCCAAACTTCTAAAGGACGTACGTCGATTTTTAAAGCATCAAAATCCGCAATAGCGTCTATTTCTCAATATAAATTCAATAGGCGATTTTAATTGAGAATGAAAAATATTATTTTTCGCTTGTGAACATTCCCATAACTTCTCGTGAAGTTCTGGGAGTGCATTTAGAGTTACTAACAATTTCTCCAAACTTCTAAAGGACGTACGTCGATTTTTAAAGCATCAAAATCCGCAATAGCGTCTATTTCTCAATATAAATTCAAAAGGCGATTTTAATTGAGAATGAAAAATATTATTTTTCGCTTGTGAACATTCCCATAACTTCTCGTGAAGTTTTGGGAGTGCAATTAGAGTTACTAACAATTTCTCCAGACTTCGAAAGGACGTACGTCGATTTTTAAAGCATCAAAATCCGCAATAGCGTCTATTTCTCAATATAAATTCAATAGGCGATTTTAATTGAGAATGAAAAATATTATTTTTCGCTTGTGAACATTCCCATAACTTCTCGTGAAGTTTTAGGAGTGCAATTAGAGTTACTAACAGTTTCGCCAGGCTTCTAAAGGACGTACGTCGATTTTTTAAGCATCAAAATCCGCAATAGCGTCTATTTCTCAATATAAATTCAAAAGGCGATTTTAATTGAGAATGAAAAATATTATTTTTCGCTTGTGAACATTCCCATAATTTCCTGTGAAGTTTTGGGAGTGCATTTAGAGTTACTAACAATTTCTCCAGACTTCTAAAGGACGTACGTCGATTTTTGAAGCATCAAAGTCCGCAAAAGCATCTATTTTTCAATATAAATTCAAAAAGCGATTTTAATTGAGAATGAAAAATATTATTTTTCGCTTGTGAACATTCCCATAACTTCTCGTGAAGTTTTGGGAGTGCATTTAGAGTTACTAACAATTTCTCCAAACTTCTAAAGGACGTACGTCGATTTTTAAAGCATCAAAATCCGCAATAGCGTCTATTTCTCAATATAAATTCAATAGGCGATTTTAATTGAGAATGAAAAATATTATTTTTCGCTTGTGAACATTCCCATAACTTCTCGTGAAGTTTTAGGAGTGCAATTAGAGTTACTAACAGTTTCGCCAGGCTTCTAAAGGACGTACGTCGATTTTTTAAGCATCAAAATCCGCAATAGCGTCTATTTCTCAATATAAATTCAAAAGGCGATTTTAATTGAGAATGAAAAATATTATTTTTCGCTTGTGAACATTCCCATAACTTCTCGTGAAGTTTTGGGAGTGCAATTAGAGTTACTAACAATTTCTCCAGACTTCGAAAGGACGTACGTCGATTTTTAAAGCATCAAAATCCGCAATAGCGTCTATTTCTCAATATAAATTCAATAGGCGATTTTAATTGAGAATGAAAAATATTATTTTTCGCTTGTGAACATTCCCATAATTTCCTGTGAAGTTTTGGGAGTGCAATTAGAGAAGATAAACGTTATTATTTTGGTATATGGAAATATGGTGAGAAAGAACGAAATTTTGAAGTCCAGGGACCTAGACATGAAATGAGCAATGTTTCAAGGGCTGATGCGCGGGAGAAATGTTTTCTGCCCTTTAATTGATAGGGTCGCGCACCTGTAGATGTTTGACCTTTAATTTTCCGGCGTCGATGGATCTCATTAACGTGACTTACCGCTTTATTTTCCAAATTATGCACACTATGAAGCTCTATGTGCTGGGGCGGCGTCGGTCTCGTCTCCCTCTCGCCCTGATGATGAGACTTGTTATTGTCGATCTCTTTGGGGTGCATCTCGGCGCTCGTCTTTCTGCCGTTCTTGGCGTCGTCGAGCGCGTGGCCCTCGGCGTCCCTGTGGATACCCTGCGCGTCGATGAAGTGCAGCTGGTAGGAGTGAGGGATGCCGTGCGAGTCGATGTATAGTCCCGAGTCCTCGGACTGGCTGCGGCTCTCCTTCAGCTGTCCGTTCTGGTGGTGGGCCTTCGAGTGGTGGCCGTGGTCCGGTTTCTGAAAGAGTTTCGCGAACTCCTCGTGGTGAGCGTGGTGGTCCTTCGGTAGGACGGGAAACTCGCGCGGGTGCCCTTGGTGCTTTTGCGCGTCCTTCAGGTGACTCTCGACGTCGTCGTGGTGCAGCTTGTGGTGGCTGAGCGACTCCTTGTGCGATTTGCCCTTCGGGTCCTTGTGGCACTCTTTGTGGTGGTGAGGAGCGTGATGGTGGGACGCTTCCATCAAGGTCGGCTGAATGTGTGTCACAAATTGCGCCATTCCTTCGGTCCGTTAAGCACTAGGTAAAGTTACACGCGTATAAAAACTGAAAAATTATTGCAATTGCAGTCCGCATGATTAGAGAGCGCCGCTACCGTCGACGGCTGATTAGAAAACATTCGCGTTTCTAGAAGTTCGGGGGAGTTATATGTGCACACTTTTCGAATAAAGTATTGAGACGCGGACGAGCATATTCGCGTAATCGATATTAGGGAAACAGAGTTTTGTATCCCATCTTGGAAGGGCCACTTCGGAGCACGCTCGAAATTTGATTCGCCACCCTCTACTCACGCTGCCTGGGAATTGGACATGCGTGCTCTTATCCTCCCTTCGACTTTTTATGTGCACTAAAAATTAATTTGAAACGCATTTATTAAATCGCCAAATTAACTTCAAATGTCTTTGCACCAATCAATTACTAACACTTGGCGACGATATTGGCTCGCATGCGATTTGGCGTCGCGACGCTGAAACGCGATATTTTAAAAGAATTTAATTGACTTCTGCTGGTGCTCAGTTGGAACGTACGTGACGACGTTAAGGGATTTTTCAGTGATTAACGTCGAGGGAACCATTTTTCAACTAAGTTGCCACGGAAATAATCATTTGCGTATCTAAAGCACTGCGCCAAAGTTCGTCACGTAATTATTTTCGCGCTCCAAGGTGCAATAAAGGTATTTTCAACCAACGATGATGGTCAAAGGAAAGATTTAATTTAAAATTACGCGCTTATATTTTACCTATATTCCCCCCAAAAACAGTATCAAGATAATTCCCAAGCGGGTTTTGAATTTAATGACAGAAGGGGCTTTCAGTAACGACAACTCCAGCTGAGAAAAAGTTCGCGTGGCTCTTTTCTGGAACTTCGAACTCCTTTAGGAGTCTTGAAAAATTTTTCGCGGTTTCGTTTCGGATTCGAAAGCTCATAAAAAGCTCTTCCTACTTCTATCAGTGAAAAGAAATGACTTTCAGCCTTTATTATATAAGTGTCTTCGGAATTAGGCGCCCAAGAATAATTTTAATAATTTTTGAGCTTGAAATCCTCACACAAACTCCTTTAGGAGTCTTGAAAAATTTTTCGCGGTCCCGTTCCGGGTTCGAAAGCTCATAAAAGAGTTCTTCCTACTTCTATAAACCAAAAGAAATGACTTTCAGCCTCTATTATACAAGTGTCTTCTGAATTAGACGCCCAAGAATAATTTTAATAATTTTTGAGCTTCAAATCCTCACACAAACTCCTTTAGGAGTCTTGAAAAATTTTTCGCAGTTTCGTTCCGGGTTCGAAAGCTCATAAAAGAGTTCGTCCTACTTCTATCAGTGAAAAGAAATGACTTTCAGCCTCTATTATATGAGTGTCCTCTGAATTAGACGCCCAAGAATAATTTGAATAATTTTTGAGCTTGAAATCCTCAAACAAACTCCTTGAGGAGTCTTGAAAAATTTTTCGCGGTTTCGTTCCGGGTTCGAAAGCTCATAAAAGAGTTCTTCCTACTTCTATCAGTGAAAAGAAATGACTTTCAGCCTTTATTATATAAGTGTCTTCGGAATTAGGGGCCCAAGAATAATTTTAGGGGCCCAAGAATAATGAAAATCCTTACACAAACTCCTTTAGGAGTCTTGAAAAATTTTTCGCGGTCTCGTTCCGGGTTCGAAAGCTCATAAAAGAGTTCGTCCTACTTCTATCAGTGAAAAGAAATGACTTTCAGCCTTTATTATATAAGTGTCTTCGGAATTAGGCGCCCAAGAATAATTTCAATAATTTTTGAGCTTGAAATCCTCACACAAACTCCTTTAGGAGTCTTGAAAAATTTTTCGCGGTCTCGTTCCGGGTTCGAAAGCTCATAAAAGAGCTGCTCGTACTTCTATCAGTGAAAAGAAATGACTTTCAACCTCTATTATACAAGTGTCTTCAGAATTAGACGCCCAAGACTAATTTGAATAATTTTTGATCTTCAAATCTTCACACAAACTCCTTTAGGAGTCTTGAAAAATTTTTCGCGGTCTCGTTCCGGGTTCGAAAGCTCATAAAAGAGTTCTTCCTACTTCTATAAACGAAAAGAAATAACTTTCAGCCTCTATTATATAAGTGGCTTCTGAATTAGAAGCCCAAGAATAATTTTAATAATTTTTTAGCTTCAAATCCTCAAACAAACTCCTTGAGGAGCCTTGAAAAATTTTTCGCGGTTTCGTTCCGGGTTCGAAAGCTCATAAAAGAGTTCTTCCTACTTCTATCAGTGAAAAGAAATGAATTTCAGCCTTTATTATATAAGTGTCTTCGGAATTAGGGGCCCAAGAATAATTTTAATAATTTTTGAGCTTGAAATCCTCACACAAACTCCTTTAGGAGTCTTGAAAAATTTTTCGCGGTCTCGTTCCGGGTTCGAAAGCTCATAAAAGAGTTCTTCCTACTTCTATCAGTGAAAAGAAATGACTTTCAGCCTCTATTATACAAGTGTCTTCTGAATTAGACGCCCAAGAATAATTTTTATAATTTTTGAGCTTCAAATCCTCACACAAACTCCTTTAGGAGTCTTGAAAAATTTGTCGCGGTCTCGTTCCGGGTTCGAAAGCTCATAAAAGAGTTCGTCCTACTTCTATCAGTGAAAAGAAATGACTTTCAGCCTTTATTATATAAGTGTCTTCGGAATTAGGCGCCCAAGAATAATTTCAATAATTTTTGAGCTTGAAATCCTCACACAAACTCCTTTAGGAGTCTTGAAAAATTTTTCGCGGTCTCGTTCCGGGTTCGAAAGCTCATAAAAGAGCTGCTCGTACTTCTATCAGTGAAAAGAAATGACTTTCAACCTCTATTATACAGTGTCTTCAAATTAGAAAGAAAAATTTTTCGCGGTCTCGTTCCGGGTTCGAAAGCTCATAAAAGAGTTCTTCCTACTTCTATAGTGAAAAGAAATGACTTTCAGCCTCTATTATATAAGTGTCTTCTGAATTAGACGCCCAAGAATAATTTTTATAATTTTTGAGCTTCAAATCCTCACACAAACTCCTTTAGGAGTCTTGAAAAATTTTTCGCCGTTTCGTTTCGGGTTCGAAAGCTCATAAAAAGCTCTTCCTACTTCTATCAGTGAAAAGAAATGGTTTTCAGCCTCTATTATATAAGTGTCTTCAGAATTAGACGCCCAAGAATAATTTTAATAATTTTTGAGCTTCAAATCCTCACACAAACTCCTTTAGGAGTCTTGAAAAATTTTTCGCGGTCTCGTTCCGGGTTCGAAAGCTCATAAAAGAGTTCTTCCTACTTCTATCAGTGAAAAGAAATGACTTTCAGCCTCTATTATACAAGTGTCTTCTGAATTAGACGCCCAAGAATAATTTTTATAATTTTTGAGCTTCAAATCCTCACACAAACTCCTTTAGGAGTCTTGAAAAATTTTTCGCGGTCTCGTTCCGGGTTCGAAAGCTCATAAAAGAGTTCTTCCTACTTCTATAAACGAAAAGAAATGACTTTCAGCCTCTATTATACAAGTGTCTTCTGAATTAGACGCCCAAGAATAATTTTTATAATTTTTGAGCTTCAAATCCTCACACAAACTCCTTTAGGAGTCTTGAAAAATTTTTCGCGGTCTCGTTCCGGGTTCGAAAGCTCATAAAAGAGTTCTTCCTACTTCTATCAGTGAAAAGAAATGACTTTCAGCCTCTATTATATAAGTGTCTTCTGAATTAGACGCCCAAGAATAATTTTTATAATTTTTGAGCTTCAAATCCTCACACAAACTCCTTTAGGAGTCTTGAAAAATTTTTCGCGGTCTCGTTCCGGGTTCGAAAGCTCATAAAAGAGTTCTTCCTACTTCTATCAGTGAAAAGAAATGACTTTCAGCCTCTATTATATAAGTGTCTTCTGAATTAGACGCCCAAGAATAATTTTTATAATTTTTGAGCTTCAAATCCTCACACAAACTCCTTTAGGAGTCTTGAAAAATTTTTCGCCGTTTCGTTTCGGGTTCGAAAGCTCATAAAAAGCTCTTCCTACTTCTATCAGTGAAAAGAAATGGTTTTCAGCCTCTATTATATAAGTGTCTTCAGAATTAGACGCCCAAGAATAATTTTAATAATTTTTGAGCTTCAAATCCTCACACAAACTCCTTTAGGAGTCTTGAAAAATTTTTCGCGGTCTCGTTCCGGGTTCGAAAGCTCATAAAAGAGTTCTTCCTACTTCTATCAGTGAAAAGAAATGACTTTCAGCCTCTATTATACAAGTGTCTTCTGAATTAGACGCCCAAGAATAATTTTTATAATTTTTGAGCTTCAAATCCTCACACAAACTCCTTTAGGAGTCTTGAAAAATTTTTCGCGGTCTCGTTCCGGGTTCGAAAGCTCATAAAAGAGTTCTTCCTACTTCTATAAACGAAAAGAAATGACTTTCAGCCTCTATTATACAAGTGTCTTCTGAATTAGACGCCCAAGAATAATTTTTATAATTTTTGAGCTTCAAATCCTCACACAAACTCCTTTAGGAGTCTTGAAAAATTTGTCGCGGTCTCGTTCCGGGTTCGAAAGCTCATAAAAGAGTTCGTCCTACTTCTATCAGTGAAAAGAAATGACTTTCAGCCTTTATTATATAAGTGTCTTCGGAATTAGGCGCCCAAGAATAATTTCAATAATTTTTGAGCTTGAAATCCTCACACAAACTCCTTTAGGAGTCTTGAAAAATTTTTCGCGGTCTCGTTCCGGGTTCGAAAGCTCATAAAAGAGCTTCTTCCTACTTCTATAAACGAAAAGAAATAACTTTCAGCCTCTATTATATAAGTGGCTTCTGAATTAGAAGCCCAAGAATAATTTTAATAATTTTTTAGCTTCAAATCCTCAAACAAACTCCTTGAGGAGCCTTGAAAAATTTTTCGCGGTTTCGTTCCGGGTTCGAAAGCTCATAAAAGAGTTCTTCCTACTTCTATCAGTGAAAAGAAATGACTTTCAGCCTTTATTATATAAGTGTCTTCGGAATTAGGGGCCCAAGAATAATTTTAATAATTTTTGAGCTTGAAATCCTCACACAAACTCCTTTAGGAGTCTTGAAAAATTTTTCGCGGTCTCGTTCCGGGTTCGAAAGCTCATAAAAGAGTTCTTCCTACTTCTATCAGTGAAAAGAAATGACTTTCAGCCTCTATTATATAAGTGTCTTCTGAATTAGACGCCCAAGAATAATTTTTATAATTTTTGAGCTTCAAATCCTCACACAAACTCCTTTAGGAGTCTTGAAAAATTTTTCGCGGTCTCGTTCCGGGTTCGAAAGCTCATAAAAGAGTTCTTCCTACTTCTATCAGTGAAAAGAAATGACTTTCAGCCTCTATTATATAAGTGTCTTCTGAATTAGACGCCCAAGAATAATTTTTATAATTTTTGAGCTTCAAATCCTCACACAAACTCCTTTAGGAGTCTTGAAAAATTTTTCGCGGTCTCGTTCCGGGTTCGAAAGCTCATAAAAGAGTTCTTCCTACTTCTATCAGTGAACAGAAATGACTATCAGCCTCTAGTATGAACGTGTCTTCTGAATTAGACGCCCGAGAATCATTTTTAGGACTTTGAAACTTCAAACCTCCACACAAACTCCTTTAGGAGTCTTGAAAAATCTTTCCTGGCCCCATTCAGGCCTTGTAAGTGCCCTACTTTCATAAGAAAAAGCTAATGATGTTCATCCTACAATTCAATCGATTGGGGTTTTAACCGATTTGCCGTTGTTTCGTCGCCTCTTACGACACGCAGTGTCCTCTGCGGTAGGGTTACTCTTATCCGACCCTACACGGATAGAACTATAGTCCAAGTAACAATAATAGGCAAGTGATTATACCATTATACAATAACAACATTCAATTTAAAAACAAAATTGAAATTCACTCCATTTCGAAATATTTTGGAAACAGAGACCGTACGGCTCTGTGAACTCGGACTTCGGACATGGAAAAGGCACCAAATTATGCAACTGATAATTACAATGAATTAGATTTCGTATTAAAAATCGTCCTTCTAAACATGATTAGTATTCATTCCATATTGTCGAGTCGACTACTATGGAGGAATGTGGCGTAACACCGTTTCGCTTAAACGCGCACGTTTAGAAACCGGTCAAGTATTATGCAAATTCGTCCATCGCTATTTGTTATTAATTATTATTGTTTTTAATTGTGTTTGTGTCGTGCTGATCTGTGGGGCCTTGATAATGAAAGTTATTTATACGTTTGTGCAACAGTTGAAATGAAAGCGCCGCGCAGCTCCCGTATCTGAGGGGGAAAAAACGGACCCCCTTATCTTATCGGGCGCGATAGGTGAATTCCGAGTGCGACGTGTAAATAAAAAAGTCATGTCGTGCGGAAGGTTGGCAGCGATCGACTGGGAGGAAAATTAGTGCCCTTTTTGGGAGGTGGTACCGTTTTCGTTAGCGGACGAGCCCATGGCGCCGCAAAAACGCATAGAAACCGTTTCGCTTGCGGTCGACTCGCTTTACCACAATGGCGGCGTCGATCCCAAGGTGCACAGGACCGGCTTGAGCCCGCAGCGTTGGCGAAACTCGGCCCAGTCCATCAAATCGCAAAGTTCTCTGCGCACCGTTCCCGAAGAGGAGGACGGGGCGGAAACGGGCGTACCGACAGAGAAAAACGGAGGTGGGGTTCGAACGAGTTTTGCAAAAAATGTGTCCTCACGAACTAGTAGTGTGACGTCACTGACCAAGGGGATCAGGGCCTATGATAACGGTGCCCTCGATGAGAAGACGATTCAATTTGAGAGAGGCTATAATGATAGCACCAGATCATCGGTCCATGAAAGTGTTGCCAGTTTACAGTAAGTACCCAAAGCACTTTTTTGCAAAATTTAATTTTGTCGCCCGAAGTGTTTTGTTATGACGGAAATAATTAACTGCAGGTTCAAAGATAAGATTAAGGGTAATCTCCCGGTACTTTGCGTGTGTCAACACCTACCGTATAATTTGTCAAGATAAGGTGATTGTTTATAACAATGTCTTCTTTACTGTCTAAAGAATTTAGCTATACAAAACAAAATGGACCCAAAAACTATTGCTCCAAATATTCAGCCAATTGAATTGTTGGCCACAAGTGATGAAATAATAACGGGCGATCAAAAATGAGTTGCTGTCGAGTCGCCTTTGGAAGTTTACGATTTTCCATGTAAACAAAAATTCCAAAGGTAACTCGACAGCAACTCATTTTTGATCGCATAGTATAATATATGGTCAAATCAATACGTCAGAGGAGAACCAAAAATTGTCTGAATCCCAAAAGTACTTACCTAATGCTCACCATCGAAAAAATTAAAGTAAACATGACATTTGTCCCTTATTTTGTGTTTCAAGTTCCAAAATAAATATGAACCAATGCGATTTTCGCATTTAGTACCAATATGGCCAAAAAATGACGTGACAGAAACGCGGTTTTGTGACTAAACATGTCGCACTTCCACAATTAATTATCTAATGCTCATAATCGAAGAATTTAGGTAGTCAGGATGACATGTGTCTTTTGTTTTTTGAGTCAGATTCCAAAATAAATACGGACCAATGCGATTTTCCCATTAGGACCAATATGGTCAAAAAATGACGTGACAGAAACGCGGTTTTGTGACCAAATATGTCGCACTTCCACAATTAATTATCTAATGCTCATAATCGAAGAATTTAGGTAGTCAGGATGACATGTGTCTTTTGTTTTTTGAGTCAGAATCCAAAATATAAACGGACCAATGCGATTTTCCCATTAGTACCAATATGGTCAAAAAATAACGTGACAGAAACGCGGTTTTGTGACCAAATATGTCGCACTTCCACAATTAATTATCTAATGCTCATAATCGAAGAATTTAAGTAGTCATGATGACATGTGTCATTTGTTTTTTGAGTCAGATTCCAAAATAAATACGGACCAATGCGATTTTCCCATTAGTACCAATATGGTCAAAAAATAACGTGACAGAAACGCGGTTTTGTGACCAAATATGTCGCACTTCCACAATTAATTATCTAATGCTCATAATCTAAGAATTTAAGTAGTCATGATGACATGTGTCATTTGTTTTTTGAGTCAGATTCCAAAATGGTACCAATATGGTCAAAAAATAACGTGACAGAAACGCGGTTTTGTGACCAAATATGTCGCACTTCCACAATTAATTATCTAATGCTCATAATCTAAGAATTTAAGTAGTCATGATGACATGTGTCATTTGTTTTTTGAGTCAGATTCCAAAATAAATACGGACCAATGCGATTTTCCCATTAGTACCAATATGGTCAAAAAATAACGTGACAGAAACGCGGTTTTGTGACCAAATATGTCGCACTTCCACAATTAATTATCTAATGCTCATAATCTAAGAATTTAAGTAGTCATGATGACATGTGTCATTTGTTTTTTGAGTCAGATTCCAAAATAAATACGGACCAATGCGATTTTCCCATTAGTACCAATATGGTCAAAAAATAACGTGACAGAAACGCGGTTTTGTGACCAAATATGTCGCACTTCCACAATTAATTATCTAATGCTCATAATCGAAGAATTTAAGTAGTCATGATGACATTGTGTCTTTTGTTTTTTGGGTCAGAATCCAAAATAAATACGGACCAATGCGATTTTCCCATTAGTACCAATATGGTCAAAAAATGACGTGACAGAAACGCGGGTTTGTGACCAAATATTGACGCACTTCCAAAACTAATTCCATAATGCTTATAATCGGAGCAGTTTGTCATTTGTTTTTTGAGTCAGGTTCCAAAAAAATGTGTGCCAAAACGATTTTCGCAATACTGCAAATATGACCAAAAAATGACGTGAGAGAACCGCGGTTTTATGACCAAAGATGTCTCAATCCCCAAATTACTTGCCTAATTCTCATAATCGAAGAAACATATCATTTATTTTTTTAATCAGGTTCCAAAATAAGTATGGACTAATCCGATTTTCGTAATACTGAAAAATATGACCAAACAATGACGTAATAGAAGAGCAGTTTTATGACCAAAAATTAATCAAAGAAAGTTGTGACATAATCAGGGTTGACGGAATTGTTTTTTCAGGGTACAACGCGAGCAATACTGTTGCTGCGTGAGATGGACGATGTTCGAAAGAAGGCTGGCGATATGCGTCGGCATTTTGGCGGGAACGATTTTTGGACTAGCGATAGCAGTCGGTCTTTTGGCCGGCGATCATGGCGTGGACGAGAAGTTTGTTTGGAAGCCTTAGCTTTTTTGTGATTATTTTTGTATTTGTACTTTATTTATTTAATAAAATATCGTTGTACTTTGTTGTTTACGTTAATGGCCACATCGGTGAGATAATGAGACGGTCGTTGTTTACAGTTGGACGATTGATAAATGGTGTTGTCGTTGACATTTGACCTTCATTGGCATTGGTGGATATTTTTATAAAGGCGATCGTTGAGCCTGGCACAGTTGATTTTGTACCAGTGCAAAAATGACAGACCTGCGGCTCCTGCTGGTCTTCGTGACTACATTAGCATATGTGATAGGCGCACCCACCTCTATTGAAGCTGAGGCATGCGGTTATAAGGTAATTTGGAGCAATTTACCTTGATCCTTTGTCAATTGCAATTTTCAGTCGTGCCACCCAATTAAAGACGGATTTGTGAACGTCCACATAGTCGCTCACACCCATGACGATGTTGGTTGGCTGAAGACGGTCGATCAGTACTACTACGGAAGTGGGTAAGCATCCCTTGCGACCAAGCCTGATGGATCATTTTAGGTAAAACAAGAATTCAACATGCCGGAGTGCAGTACATACTCGACTCGGTCCTTTCCGCCCTCCAGCGGGATCCCAAGCGAAGGTAAGGTGACCCAATGAGGCCCAAACCGAATCGGCCACCTTTCAGATTCATCTACGTCGAAACCGCCTTCCTGTGGAAGTGGTGGAAGCATCAGCACGACACCGTGAAGCATCAATTCCGAAAGCTGATCCGAAACGGCCAGCTCGAACTGATCGGGGGCGCGTGGAGCATGAACGACGAGGCCACAACCCACTATCATTCGATCATCGACCAGTTCACCTGGGGACTAAGGTACCTTCTCCCCGTGTCAAAACCATCGACTTAGCGCGCACTTCCAGAAAGCTAAACGAGACCTTCGGCTACTGCGGCCGGCCTAAAATCGGCTGGCAGATTGACCCTTTCGGGCACAGTCGCGAAATGGCGTCGATCTTCGCCCAGTTGGGTTTCGACGGCCTCTTTCTCGGTCGAATCGATTACCAAGACAAGAAGGTGCGTTTCGGGACGCGCACGCCCGAAATGATCTGGAAGGCCAGTCAAAATTTAGGCAACAGCTCCTTATTTACAAGTGTCATGTACAACACCTACTCGCCTCCTCCGGGCTTCTGCTTTGACGTTTTATGCGAGGACGACCCGATCATCGACGACAAGAGAAGTCCTGAGTATAACGCCCCCAAGCGGGTAAGTGAAAAATGAAGAATGCCTTTCTCAAACGGGAGAATCCCCGGTTTCCAGTTACAAAGTCGCTCTCGTTTACGGCAGCTCCACCTTCATTGCTTCATCTGCATTTCTTACAGGTCCAACAGTTCCTGGATTACGTAAAGAACATGACTAAAGTCTACACGACTAACAACGTCCTCGTGACGATGGGCGAAGATTTCACCTACCAGGACGCACACGTCTGGTTCAAAAACATCGATAAGCTAATGCTGTAAGTACCATTCTAGTTTCGAAAACTCATTCGGACCGCGCAATCGCCAGGCACGCCAATCAACTTCAAGCAAACGGCTCGAAGTACAACCTGATTTACTCGACGCCGTCCTGCTACCTGAAGGCGGTGCACGAGGAGTCCAAGAAACGCAACTTGCAGTACCCGACCAAAACCGACGACTTCTTCCCGTACGGCTCCGACTCGCACGCCTTCTGGACCGGCTACTTCACCTCCAAGCCGACGATCAAGCGATTCGAGAGGCTAGGCAACAACTTCCTGCAGGTGAGCTAACGCAAAGGCGCGCCCGTCCGCTAATTCGTTTCGCTCCCCTGAAGGTGTGCAAGCAGCTGTACGCCTTAACGGATTTGGGTCCGGAAGACTGGGCCGATTTAAACGTGATGAGGGAGGCGATGGGAGTGATGCAGCACCACGACGCGGTCACGGGAACGGAGAAGGAGCACGTGGCGCACGATTACGCCCGAATTCTGTCGCGCGGTTTCGACGAGTGCCAATTCACCTCCGCTACCGCTTTGAGGTAGGAGTACTCGGTCATCTTTCGTTGGCATTTTACCCCACTTCATCTTGACGGTCATTGCCTGGTGGTATTCCATACTCCACGGGCTTCTGCTGTTATTTCAACTACAACTACCGCCGTAAAACACCGGGGGAGAAGGATCTATATCTTGGAGAAGAATGTGTAACCGGGGGGGTCTGGGGGGTATAAAATACCGTCCCAGAAATAATCAGGTAAGTCTCCAAAAACATTCTCGTCCACGTGACGGAAACACCGAATCAATTTAATTGACCTCGATTGACCTCGCGAGTAAAAAGGAGTGGGGTAAAGTGCACTGCTTCTCCTGGTAGGCTTTTAGTGCTTTTGACCAATGACCATTTCAGCAAAATCATTGATAAAGCGGGTATCAAAAGTGACCCCAACCCTTCACCTTCCATCCCGTTCGAATCCTGCTTGCTGAGCAACATGAGTCAGTGCGCGCTGACGGAAAACAACCCCAAATTCCTCGCCACAATTTACAACCCACTAAGCAGACCGGTGAATCACTACGTCCGACTGCCAGTTCCGAATGGTACCTACAAGGTGACCGATGGCCAAGGAAAGGAGCTTACCGTGCAAGCAATTCCAATACCAGAAACAATCGCCAACATTCCCGGAAGGTACAGCAAGGCGACTCAAGAGATCATCTTCCTCGCCGAGTCCCTGCCCCCTCTAGGCTTCAAGTCGTACTACGTCGCCAAGACCTCCTCGGAGATGGCTTCCGTAACGGAGGAATCCGTCCAGCCGGTGCAACTATCTCTCGACGAAAACTCGGGGCTGCTCTCCGACATCAACTTCAGCGGTAACAAAATTCAGGTGACCCAAAACTTTTACTTCTACCAAGGAGCGGTGGGCAACAACGAGGTCGCCGAGAACCGATCATCGGGCGCTTACATTTTCAGACCGAACGGTACCGTACCGTTCACAATCTCGAAGAAGGTCGTTAATAAGAAGTACAACGGCAAGCTCGTCAACGAGATCCATCAGGTGTTCAACGAGTGGACGAGCCAAATAATTCGAACGTACAACCAGGAGAATTTCGTGGAGTTCGACTGGTTAATCGGGCCGATACCGAGAGGGTGAGCGAAACGTCCGCACGCGCTACTGTCAATTATTCGCGTCAAACATTTTAGGAACGTGAACGGCGTCGAGGTGATCTCGCGCTATTCGACGAATCTCAAATCGGAATCGACCTTCTACACGGATTCGAACGGAAGGGAGCTACTGAAGAGGGTGAGAAACTTCAGGCCGACGTGGAGGGTGAACATGACCGAGCCGGTCGCGAGCAACTACTATCCGGTTACGTCGAAGATACTCATACGCGATCCGAACGAGGACCTGGAGGTCGCCGTGTTGACCGATCGAGCGCAAGGCGGCACCAGCTTGAACGACGGAGAAATCGAGCTGATGGTGAGCGTCTAAGTCAAACGAGTCGCGATTAACGTTCGCGATTTAGGTGCATCGAAATTGCCTGCACGATGACGCCTTTGGAGTGGGCGAGTCCTTGGACGAGATGGCCTTCGGTAAACGACTGGTCGCGAGAGGCACGCACTACGTCATCGGCGGTTCATACATCAAACCCGCAAAAGGCGGCAAAAGCCTAGCTGCCCAAGAACGAGATCTCGCGCAAAGGAAGCTGCTACAAGCCTGGACGTTTGTGGCACCGACGAACGGGTTAAGCTACCAGGAGTACTCCTCGAAGTACGTCATGGAGGTAAGACACTTGATCCCCCGGCTATCGGTGCTGACAAATTACCTCGCAGTACTCGGGACTTCAGCGGGCCTTACCAGACAACGTGCAAATCCTCACCTTGGAGCCGTGGTACGGAATGAACTTCCTTTTGCGATTGGAGCACTACTTGGAGAAGAACGAGGATCCAATTCTCTCACAGCCCGTCACCGTCAATCTTAAGGACTTGTTCTCCGCCTTCGAAATTCTCTCCTACCGGGAAACAACACTAGGCGCGAATCAGTGGCTGGACGAGAACCACCACCGGCTGTCGTTTAATGAAAGTAAAACCGCCGAAGACCTAGTGCATCGGCACGAGAACGACCCGCTGTGGACGGAGGGTGTCAAACGGTGGTTGCGCGACCAAACCGACGGCAACGGCGTCAATGACTACAACCGAGAGAGCCACCAGAAGAAGTTTGGTTCCCCTGGAAACTTTATGGTCACGTTAAACCCCATGGAGATTCGAACCTTTGTGATCGATGTCAAGATGCTGAAAGTCAACAACCTTTGATCCATTTTTCTGTTTAAGTGTATATAGTATGTAGGTACTGAATAAAGGGTGTTTATGCAAAACTACCCAGATGAAGATGTTGGGTGTTTTCTCGCCGAAATCGATGCGTAAATATCCATTTCGATAATTTTTTAAAACACGATTCAAGGAGTTGGGAGACAGTCAAGATTTTCAAAAGTTCTCGCCCGCGGCTACATTCGGTGCCTTTGGGATTTATTCAAAGTTAGCCTTGTGTAGTGTAATTTTTGCCGAAGCCGCCTTCGTCTTGCTCGGATACGACATTTTTGATGATCAATTCGAATAAATAGGCTGCAAAAGAATTATTGCCGAGTGAGCCGAAGGCGAGCTCGGCACAAACTTGGCTCAATTCGTGCTTTCGGGATTTAACCAAAGAACAAATTGGTCTTGTGTAGCCTAATTTGTGCCGAATTCGCCTTCGGATGTCGAATTGGTCACCAAAAAATGTGGTTGTGAACCGAGCCGAATGCTTTCGAGAGTTAACCAAAAGAAATACGGACCTTAAGGAGCTTGTATAAGAAATTGGTTTTGAACCTTGAAAAACTCCTGGGGGCCTTTAAGAATCGCAAACCTCCTGCTAGATCTTCCAAGAGTCGAAAAAGTCGAGACATTAAGCTTTGAATTTTAAAGAGCCTTTAAAGATCCCTAGGAGATTCTTTAAAAGACTTTTTAAGAGTCTTTATCGGACCTTAAGGTTCACTCAAACGGTCGTGGGAATGCGGAAATTCTTCAGATTTAAAAAATTGTTCAAATTTTTCGGGAGTCATGAGTAGCGTTGGGCAAAAAATCGATTAATCGATTATAATCAAACGATAATCAATAATCAGGTTTGATTATTCTATTAAATTAATCGATTAATCGATTATTTGATTAATCGATTATTTATTTGATTAATCGGTTATTTGATTAATCGATTGTTTGATTAATCAATCATTAAGTAAATTTTAATTGATTATTATTAGCTGGAATAATCGATAATCGATTATGAAAAATAATCGATTACACTGATTAATCGATTAATCAAATAATCGATTAATCAAATAATCGATTAATTTAATAGAATAATCAAACCCGATTATCGATTATCGTTTGATTATAATCGATTAATCGATTTTTTTGCCCAACGCTAATTAAGATTGTATCATCAAAACTAAAGCACACCTCATCGGAGAGTAAGCTGCCTAATCATTTATTTTTATTTATTTATTTCTATTTTTGACCTTCATTTTCAAATGGGCAGGGTTTCAGCCAAGGCTGTTCTACCAACCAACCCACTATGCATTTGCAAATATCCATGCCCGAACCCGGATTCGAACCAGGGACACTTTGTTGATTATTGATTAATCGATCTGCCTAGTAATGAACGATTTGATGAAAAGAGTAATGGAATTATTTTTTATTTTTATTATTAAATAATTAACGTATTAATGCATACAAACAGATATTTATCACTCCTTGTATGTGACAATCGACTTTTGATTAAACGATTAGGTGATTAATCGATTATTTGATTAATCGATGATTTGATTAATCGATTATTTGATTAATCGATTATTTGATTAAACGATTACTTGATTAATCGATTATTTGATTAATCGATTAATCAGTGTAATCGATTATTTTTCATAATCGATTATCGTTTATTCAAACCCGTAATCGCCCAGCCCTAGATGAGGGAGTTTTCCGATGTTTCGTATTCTTCCGTTCTTCGCGGCCTACGAACAGATAAAAACAAAAATGTGACTTTTTTATATGGAACACCCTGTATATTATTACATTATATGGCCGAAAATACTTTAAATAACCAAAATTTTTCCATTAATTTAATTTAGATCTAGTGTTAAAATGACGTTGTTCGTTCACGTAATTATATACAGGGTGTTCCTTCTAAAAAAGTCACATTTTTGTTCTTATCGGAAAAATGCGATGTTGTCTTGTTTTTTGAATTGCGGATTTGGATTTGGTACAAAAAATACGCAATTTTAGTAATTTAACCGTCGTTCTAAAGAAAGGTAGCCATAGTGCCGACTTAATTTGAACCAGACTGTATATCTTTCAAGGGTTGAATAAAAGCAATCGTTCAATCTGGCAGCAAATGTAATGTCTGATATAACTGAAAATGATGCATCCTTTCCACTTTCCCGTTATCCCACCTGTCGAGTTCGGACGACGCAAAAACTTTCCAGCTGTAAGTGTAAATGTCCTAAAATCCCCACGTTTTTCCACCAACTTCACAAAACAAGGTCAAGTGCCACTCAAAATTCTACGCGATTAAATTGGTCCTGATTATCTTTCGAGAGTACCATTAGGATTTGTCCCGTCGGCGTCGCGACCGTAGTAGCCACGTTGTTGCTTTTCGGGGATGAAGTTCTTCCACTTGCTCCCATTCCTATTGCCAATTCTTGGTGCGAAATCCAAAGAAGAAAAATGCGGTTACGAGGCGTGTCCCACTCTGAACCCCTCCGAGCTGCACGTTCACCTGGTGGCGCATTCCCATGACGATGTCGGCTGGTTGAAGACGGTGGATCAGTACTACTTCGGCCGTAAGTATACCCAGTGCGCTTTGTTTGCTCACACTGTAGTTTAGAACAAATGGGAATTCAGTTCGCTGGCATCCAGTACATCATCGACTCCGTCGTCCAAGCGCTTTTGGCCGATCCCAAACGAAAGTAAGACCCCCCTAGCAAAACGTCCATTGATCAAAAGCGTCGCTTAGGTTTATTCAGGTCGAGACCGCGTTCTTCCACAAATGGTGGCGGAGGCAGCACGACAAACGCAAGGAGCAGGTGCGCCAGCTGGTCAACAACGGACAGCTGGTAATCGTCGGGGGCGGATGGAGTATGAACGACGAAGCCGCTGCCCACTACCAGTCCATCATAGATCAGTTCACCTACGGCATTAGGTTCATGGAAGACACTCTGGGAAAATGCGCTAGGCCGAAGATCGGCTGGCAGATCGATCCCTTCGGTCACACTCGCGAGATGGCCTCGATCTTCAACGAAATGGGCTACGATGCGATCTTCTTCGCCCGCCTGGACTACAGAGACAAAAAGAAACGTTTAAGCACCCGCACCGCCGAGATGCTATGGCGCGGAAGCAGCAACGTGGGGCAACCCTTTCTCTTCACTCACGCGATGTTCGACCACTACAGTCCACCTCGTGGATTCAAATTTGATATTTTAAGCAAAGACGATCCTCTAGTTACCGACATTCGAAGTTCGGAGTACAACCTAAAGGAGAAGGTTTCCAGTTTTACCGCGTTCGTCAAGGCGCAATCGTCCAATTACACCTCTAATAACATCATGATGGCGATGGGGGACGATTTCACCTACCAAGACGCCCACTACAACTACAGGAACCTGGACACGCTAATCAAGTAAGGCATTACGTTGCTACGGTACCGAGCAACTGAGTCAATGTTTCAGAGCTTACGAGGACGTGGAGCACTTGGACAATAAATTGCGACGGATTAGGCTGCACTATTCGACGCCGAATTGTTACGTGAAGGCCGTCAACGAGTACGCCAAACAGAAAGGGCTGAAGTACAAGGTGAAGACTGACGATTTCATCCCGTACGCCAGCGACTCTTCGTCGTACTGGACGGGGTACTACACTTCGAGGCCGACGCAGAAGCGGCTCGAGCGCCAGGGCAATAATTTACTGCAGGTGCGCCATTGTGAGGTGTCGAAAATGGCGGTTTCAGTTTTCTGTTCCAGGTTGCGAAGCAGTTGACGTCGGCGGGACCCGACTCGAAGACTCGGAATGAGCGGGTTAGCGAACTTCGGGAGGCCATGAGCGTTATGCAACATCACGACGCTATCACGGGGACCGAGAAGACGAAGGTGGCCATGGACTACGTCACCATGATGTCGAAGGCCTTCGAGTCCAGCTCTGCCGTGGCGAGTGAAGTGCTACTGTAAGTTGGCGCACCTTCTTCAAGTTCCTCCAGGACTCATTCGTGCTTTCACACACGACCTCCTGGACGTCTACTTCAAACCTTCCTTATCCGCGTATTCTTCACTCCCCCTTCCCCCAACTTCCCCGCTCACCCACTCTTCACGCATGCAACACATTTCAACCACCCCTCCTTGACATTTCAATTGCGCTTTCTTCAAACCTTCCTTGGCACTCAGTCGCTGCTTCCTTAACCCCCCCCCCCCCCACACATGGCCGGCCGTTTCACAACTCCACCACGCCATCTTTATGTATCAATCACGTTCTTTGCAGGCCCTTCTTTCACATTCTCCGTCAAGCCTTCCTCATTTAACTTCACCCCACCCCCACCCCCACTACAATCACTTATTGCATATCAATTACCGGTAAAGTAACTTTTCAGAATACATTGCGTAATTGGCGTCATTCGATCTCCCGGTGACATCAATTTCTTCAAAAATCTTCTATTTATCTATAGGTACTTCGTATTCGTCCGATTCTTCATTTTTTCAAATTCTTCAAATCTTTCGGATTAGTTCCTTCCTTCTCTTCACTTCAGATTCTTCGCACTCTTGTGATCCTTACATTCTTCAGATTTCGGGATCAGGCGATCCAACACCATGAATCTTCAGATTTTTGCTCGATTCGATTATTTCTTCGTATCTGTATGATTTTTTGAAATTCTTCCGGTTTTTCGAATGATCCACATTCTTTCCAGATCTAAGTTTCTTTAATTCTTCAATTTCCTCCGTTAGTTATTTGGGATCTTCCGATCTTTCTGATGTGTCGTCCAGATTAGAATTATGATTTTTTTTTACTCCCTTAGATTCAGTTTCTTCTAACTGCTCTATTCCTTTCATTTTCCAATTCTTCAGTTTATTGGATTATTCAGAAATTCATGAAATTAATAAGTTTCTTTAAAATCTGATTACTTAGGGTTCTTCAATTCATTCAAATTTTTTGAATCTGGTTTCTCACCGCTTCGTTGAAATCTATAGATTCTTCACGAATTTTCTCGTTGCACTACAGATGGTGGGTTTTTTTTTCATTTTTCTTCAGATTATTCAGCATCATTAGTCAGAGTCAGACCAGTTTCTTCGAATTTTCTTATGTGTTTCAAGTTCTCCATATTTTTGTGATTCTTCATATTATTTCTTCGTTCTTGAAATTCAACGAATTCGTCACACTATTACGATCCTTAGATTATTCATATTCTTGGACCAGGTGGTCCAAGAGGATGCTTCGGGCGCATCAAGTCAGGGGCGGGAACCCATACGAAATATAGGTTCCGGTTTCGCACTGTTTAGGTGGAACTATTTTTTAAGGCTTCCGGTACCGGTTCCGGTTCTGACTTCAGTAATTTTCGGTTCCGGTTCCAGTTTTTTTCGATTTTTAATGGTTCCAAAATATATATAGACCCTCACTATTTTTGATTCATTTTCGGTCACTAAAATATTTTATATTTGTTTAGTATTAAGGTTCAGTTGGTAGAAATTACTGGGTACCTCTGAATAAAAGTGAGAATTTGGATTTTTGGCTTTTGAAATTTCTTGCAAGTTGCAAATTCTACAACGCAATTCAGAAGGCAAGATTTTATTTTTGGTCATCAAGTCGATAAAGGATCAGAAACCGGCGATAAGGAATGAAGGCGGATATGATGTGTACTTTCCAGATATATTGACTCTAGAATTTTCTAGATCCTTTTAATTTGCCACCTATATTGGCAAATTGTTTACTCTACCTACAACAGAGAGAACCAAAAAATACCGGTTCTTTGGTATTAATAATAACGGTATCGGTATCGGTTCTGGTTATCATAACTTCTCAAATAAGGGTTCCGGTTCCAAGTGAAGGACTTATAAATGCAATCGGTCCCGGTACCGGTTCTTTTCGGTTCCGGTTCCAACCCCCCGGAGCTGCTTTCTAATCCGAATCATGGCACTACTCATTTTGGTTGAAAATATATACCCTGGGAGCCAGGGGGGTATGGAATACCACCTAGTACTGCACGAATCATATCGTGATGATAATTGTAGAGAAAGAAGGCCTCCTAATCCAAATCGGAATCATGGACCTGCTCATTTTGGTTGAAAATATAAAACCGAGGGGCCTGGGGCCATGAAATACACGAATGATATAATGCTGATGATAGTAGAGAAAGAAGGTCATCCAGTTTTTCTTTACTGGGGAGTATTAGGTTTGGCTGGGGGGTATTCCGCACCCCCAGACCCCCTGGAGCTGCTTCCTAATCCGAATCCGAATAATGGTCCTAATCATTTGGGTTGAAAATATAGAACCGGGGAGCCTGGAATACCCCCCAGTACACGAATTATATCATGATGATGATTGTAGAGAAAGAGGGACATCCATTTTTTCTCTAATAATAATAATAATAATAATAATAATAATTTATTTATTTGCAAAATGTACATACTCTACTGGCGAGTATTGCATTTGGCTCCATACCCCCCAGACCCCCCGGAGCTGCTTTGTAAACCGAATCCGAATTATGATTGCCTATTTTGGTGGAAAATATAGAACCGGGGAGGAGGGGGTCCTGAGGTATGGAATACCCCCTAGAACACGACTGAGAAAGAGAGAAAGAGAGCCATCAAGTTATTTTTTACTGGGAAGTATTGTGCTTGGCTGGGGAGTATTCCATACCTCCCACACCCCCCGGAGCTGCTTCGTAAACCGAATCCGAATCATGGCTGCCCATTTTGGTGGTAAATATAGTATCGGGGGGTCCTAGAGAGTATGGAATACTCCATAATACACGAATGATGTCATGATGAAAATTATAGAGAAAGATGGTCATCAAGTTTTTCTTTACTGAGGGGTATTGAATACCTCCCAGTTCTCCGGAGCTTCTTTCTAGTCAGAATCCGGGAGTATGGGACACTAAAAATGAACAATTGACTTTAAAATGCCCCTTCCGGAAATTATAGGACGAGTACAAGAGTACACTACTCACTGCACTACTTGTTGCGTCTAGAATCCCCCCCCCCCTTTTTCTATTGTTAGATTATCATTCCCTGAATTCTTACGTCTCCTGGAATCTTTTCAATTCGTTAATTGTGGCATTGTTGCACTGTCTTTAAACCATTCAGCCAATCCTTCCTTGCATGTTTAACTTTTTGACACAAATCACTGCCCCCTTCCTACCTCCACCTAAGCTTACTTGTGAATGCATAACCACCCCTTGACTTTTAGGAAACGTTTGGCCAAAAAAGACCCCCCCAAGCTGACCTTCAAATCGTGCCTGCTCGCTAATATAAGCGTTTGCGAGGAGTCGAGAAAACAAAAATTCGTGGCAATCGTCTACAATCCTCTGAGTCGGAAGGTGTCGCACCACGTCCGTCTGCCTGTTGACACAAACGATTTCGACGTAATCGACTTTGCTGGCAAAAAGATGGAGTGGCAGGTGACTCCGAGCATCGACGCCTTTGATAACGTCCCGGATATTCAAAAGGCCAAATTTGATCTGGTCTTCTTCGCGGAAGACCTTCCGGCGCTCGGCGCTAAGATCTACTACATCACGAATAAGAACTTTGGCGCTACTGATGTAAACGTGCCACCAGTTAAGGACACTTTCGATCTTGGTGACAAGGTGAGCAAGTCCCTGTCACGCTTCCTTCTAAAGGTCCATTGCAGGAGACCGGCGCTCAACTAAACAGAAACACGGGCTTCTTGAAGGGGATCACTTTGCACAGTTGGCCGCTTAATCTCCGGCAAGAGTTGATGTACTACCATGGAGCCATCGGTAACAATCGTCCATCCAACCGCACCTCGGGCGCTTACGTCTTCAGGCCCGATCCGAAAAATCCCGCCGCGAAGCCCTTCACCGATAGCATCTTGAGCAGCTTGAAGGTGTACAAAGGGAAGCTGGTCGATGAGGTGCACCAGACCTTCGACAATGCGGCGAAGCAGATCGTTCGCGTCTACAAACGCCAAAAGAACTACGTGGAGTTTGATTGGCTGGTCGGGCCGATCGACATTAGGTAACCGTTTCTTTCTTCGGCCGACGGACAATAACTAGTGCACTTGCAGCGACAAAAATGGAAAGGAAATTATATCGCGATTTAAATTGGGAACTTTTAATCCGCCGAAAGGCACGTTTTTTACCGATTCCAATGGACGCGAGTTACTGAAGAGGGTCAATGAACATCGGGAAACTTTCAAGTACACGGACGAAGAGCCTGTTGCTGGCAACTACTACCCGATCACGTCCAGTATTACGGCGGTCGACGAGGACCGGCGCATTGAGGCTTCGGTTTTGACCGACCGAGCGCAAGGGGGCGCCAGTTTAGGTACCGGCGAAATGGAACTGATGGTAAATAACCAACTTTACCCCCACTCCTTTTTATCGCATCTCTCATCGCCCATCTGCACTTTACTCCACACCTGATGATGACCGATGAGATAAAAAGTAGTGAGGGTAAAGTGAATCATACTATCTTTGCCTTCCACTTGCAGTTACACAGGAGACTCTTAAAAGACGACGGGTTTGGCGTGGACGAAGCGCTAAACGAACTGGAATTCGGGAAAGGTTTGAGAGTAAGAGGGCGGCACTTTTTCACATTTGGCTCGATTAAAGACGGCGACAATATTCGTAAGTGTTCGGCGTAATCGACGAGTCTCTTCTAGGTGAGATTTTTCCAGCGCGAGCAAGTAAAATTCGTCGAGGGATTGTCCAGCAGAAGGTCCTGGCACCGTGGGTCTTTCTGGCGGATGCTTCTAGCAAAGAAAACGCCTTCGACAAGCTAAAGGGAAACCTTAAATCCGAAGTGAGTAGCGCCTAGGTTTTCAAAAACTATCTCTAACATCCTCGTCCAGTTTTCGCCTGTCACGCACGACCTGCCCGAGCAAGTACAAATTTTGACGCTCGAGCGCTGGGGCGACAACCACGTACTGCTACGTTTAGAGCACATACTCGAGGTTTCCGAAGGGGGCGTCGTGCAGAAGATCGATGTCAGAGTAAGTCAGCCCGCTGTGGGGTCAAAGTGAGTTACGTGCGATTTCAGGGTTTGTTCGTTGGGTTGGGGTTAAGAATCGAAGAATTCAAGGAGATGACTTTGGCGGGAAATTCGAAACTGGACGAAGGCTATAGGATGCAGTGGACCGCCGGCGGATGTCTGTCGGGTTTAGATAATTGCGAGCTGATAGAGAAACCTCCGAGAGACGGCAAGGCCGGGCCTGATCGAGTTGATCTCTGGCCCATGGAAATTCGAACGTTCATTGTTAACGTTGAAGAGATACCATCATAAATAAATAGATCAATCTATGTACATTTCCTGTTACTATTATTTGCTCCCTACCTATAATTAGTTATATTATGACCTAAAAGAAACACTCCAAAATTAACAAAAGTAATATGAAGAGAGCGGGAAGAAGACGAAACAGGATAGACGGAGGCAGAAGAAATGTAATGGAGGGCTTGATGCAGGCGCAAAGGAGACGGCGTGAAGAAAGAATGAATGAGACCTGCAGGATACGTAAGGGAGGTGCGAAGAAGATAAATATAAAGAATACGTAGAGGAAATGTGAACCAAAAGGGTATGTATAAAGATCGCGTGAAGAAAGCTTGAAGATGTGAACATGACAGAGGTGCTCCTTCGAGCGTCAGCTCGAGTCGGTTACGATGTGAATGTGGGAGAAAAGGAGGTACTACAGGAGACACGTGGAAAGTGTGACTAGGGTGGAGGAGGGTAGAAGGGCGTGAAGGAAGTTTTAAAGCAGAAGGGAGAGTTTTAGAATGTGTTAGAAAGCGTGCAGAATGAAACGTGAAATAAATACAAGAGAGGATGTGTGAAGAACATGTGAAAAAGCGCGATGGAGATAGGTACGAAGCACAGAAACGGAGAGGGCAAATGAAACGCAATATGGAGTGAGGGCGAATCGTACCTAAACGAGGTGCCCATTAGAGGGAAACCAAAATTAGTTTTTTCCCCTTTTTTCTGGAAACGATCATGAAATGATTCTTACACCCAAACGAATGAAAACCTCGTATACTGGGGGGTATTCCATACCCCCCAGACCCCCCGGTGTCACGTTTTTACTTCAAACTCTAAGCCCTGAAGAGGGCTCTGGTGTAACTTTCAAAGGGACCACCCGACCTTATTTTCTTGATGAGTATTTCATGTTCCATACGATCGCGGTGCTAAGTTCGATAGTCTCTTAATGCGTGAGTTAACGCCTAACATTTGGGGTGATACGGTTTTACCGGGGGGTCTGGGGGGTATGGAATACTTCCCAGGAAACCAAAATTAGTTTTCCCCTTTTTTTCTGGAATAATCACGATCATGAAATGGTTCCGATACCCAAACGAATGAAAACCTCGTATACTGGAAGGTATTCCATACCCCCCAGACCCCCCGGTGTCACGTTTTTACTTCAAACTCTAAGCCCTGAAGAGGGCTCTGGTGTAACTTTCAAAGGGACCATCCGACCTTATTTTCTTGATGAGTATTTCATGTTCCATACGATCGCGGTGCTAAGTTCGATAGTCTCTTAATGCGTGAGTTAACGCCTAACATATTTGGGGTGATACGGTTTTACCGGGGGGTCTGGGGGGTATGGAATACCCCCCAGGAAACCAAAATTAGTTTTCCCCTTTTTTCTGGAATCGTCACGATCATGAAATGATTCCTACACCCAAACGAATGAAAACCTCGTATACTGGGGGGGTATTCCATACCCCCCAGACCTCCCGGTGTTAAGTTTTTACTTCAAACTCTAAGCCCTGAAGAGGACTCTGGTGAAACCTTTAAAAGGGACCACCCGACCTTATTTTCTTGAAGAGTATTTCATGTTCCATACGATCGCGGTGCTAAGTTCGATGGTCTCTTAATGCGAGAGTTAACTCCTAACATATTTGGGGAAAACCAGGAAACCAAAATCAGTTTTCCCCTTTTTTCTGGAATAATCACGATCATGAAATGATTCCTATACCCAAACGAATGAAAACCTCGTATACTGGGGGGCATTCCATACCCCCCAGACCCCCCGGTGTTACGTTTCTACTTCAAACTCTAAGCCCTCAGGAGCACTCTTCTGAAACTTTCAAAAGGGACCTTCCGGCCTTTTTTAGATGAGCATTAAATGTGCTGAGTCCTGTACTCTTTTCTCTAAAGCTTTTATTCGAGTTCTAACGCTAAACATTTTTGGGTGAGAATGTAGTACCGGGAGGGTAGGTTTACAATCAAAGGAAACATTGAGGAGGAGGAGGGGGGGGGGTCAAGAAATAATACGTAAAGAGTGTGCGAAGAAGACGTAACGAATTCCTGGGGTAAAACGAAAAAAGCACATAAGGTATGATGCGATATGAAAGCGGGTGGGGGAAATTTAAAAGAAGCGCGAAGGCTTGCGGCAGGCACGAAGAAAGGATTAAAAAGACGCGAAAAGAAATGTACGAATGAGGAAAGATAAATTTGGGTGGTTTAAATTGTCATAAAAAGCCAAAGATTTTTGAAGAAACGCAAGAGTTTGAAGACCATATACATCTCGAGAATGAGAGGGGGAGGGGGGCAAACTAAGAATTTGAAAGATTCTTTAAACTGAGAGAGAGTGAACATCCAAAGTCTAAGATTCTAAATTAAGCCAAAAACCAAATGAGAAGTGTGAAGTTCAGGAAATGGATTGGGGGGGGGGGGGCTACCATTCCAGTATTTTTATTGTTTTTTTTACTATACGCTCTTCAGAAGTAGATACTGATTATCTTATTGTTTTATCTTATTATTATTCCACATTGACTAAGGACGGAAATGGATATGCGATCTTGTGTAATTATTTAGATAGTAGGTATTCCTGTCTTTGTCTGTTGTCAAAACTAACTAACGTTATTTGACTGTCTTCCAACCAAACAAACATCTTTCAAGCTCATCGGTCGTTATCGGATCATTGCCCCTTCACTTGTTCGTTGCGAGGGGCCGCACATCATTTTTCCGACAACGATGGTCTTTCGCGACTCTTTGCAAATACCGGCGAGAAAAGGTTTATTGATTGATAATAAGATGGATATAAACGGCGCAGTAAAGTGACAAAACACTCAAAGATAACGGTGTATCAGATCATGACGACAGCCACACGTGTACCGCTCGAAGATAGCAGATCAATATTTGTTAACGGGTTCTTTTTGAGTTTGCCAAAAAATTGATACAAAGGTGGTTTACGATATTTACATTTTCGACGAAAGGCTCTCAAAAGCTGACATTGTATCTTTTTCCTCAACGAGATAAGAACTTTATCAAAAAGGGCGCACTTAAAAGGCGCAGATTAGGTTGGATAATTGTCATGATTGGTTTTTTCCCCAACCATGAAGTACGTGTGTCTAGTGCTTTGGTTCTTGCCCATCTTGGGACTATCCCAACAGCATTGTGGATACAATGTAAGTAACCGATTGTGATTGTAAAGCAAACTTTTTCGATTTAGGCGTGTCCACGTTTAAACGCGTCCGAGCTCAACGTCCACATAATCGCGCATTCTCACGATGACGTCGGCTGGTTGAAAACCGTCGACGAGTACTACTACGGCACTAGGTCCCATGTTCAAAGCGCTCAGGTGAAGTACATCATCAGCTCGGTGGTCGACGCTCTTCGCGAAAACCCAAAACGGAGGTTCATCCAAGTGGAGACCGCATTTTTTCACAAATGGTGGCAGGAGCAGAACGAAGAAAAACGTCAACAGGTCCACGATTTAATCCGAAATGGGCGATTGCAAATCGTAGGCGGCGGTTGGAGCATGAACGACGAAGGAGCGGTTCACTACCAGCCGACAATCGACCAGTTCACCTTCGCGTTGAAGTTTCTGAAGGACACCTTCGGCGAGTGCGCCCTGCCGAAGGTCGCGTGGCAAATCGATCCGTTCGGTCACACGCGCGAAATGGCGAGCATGTTCGCCCAAATGGGCTTCGACGGCTTCTTCATGGGACGTATCGACTGGCGCGACAGGTACGCCCGTTTCGGCACCCGCACCGCCGAAATGCTCTGGCAAGGCAGCGCGAATTTGGGCAACGAGTCTAAGATCTTCACGCACTTACTCTACGAGCACTACACCGCACCCTCCGGTTTCTACTTTGATGTTAACAGCAAGGACGATCCGCTCGTCGCCAACAGTGCGAGCCCTGCTTACAACTTGAAGAAGAAAGTAGCAGAATTCACCAACTACGTCGACCGCCAGAGTGGCAAGTACACGTCAAACAACATCATGATCACCATGGGCCATGACTTCGCGTACCAAAACGCTAATTACAACTTCGACAATTTGGACACGTTAATTAAGTCAGTACGTAACCCTCACGCTCGTTTCTAATTGACATTTTAGGGCCTACGAGGATTGGGTGCAGGTCGATAGTAAAAATCGACGGATCCGCCTTATCTACTCCACCCCCACATGCTACCTCAAAGCCGTGAATGACTACGCGAACTCGCACGGTCTGGCCTACAAGATCAAGACGGACGACTTCGTTCCGCTGTGGAACGACGCGCACACCTACTGGTCCGGGTACTACACCTCGAGACCGACGCAAAAGCGATTCGAGCGGCAGGGCAACAATCTGCTGCAGATCGCCAAGCAGTTGACGGCCAGACGGTCGGACTTAAATCAGCGAGTCGACGAGTTGAGGGACGCCATGGGAGTCATGCAGCACCACGACGCGATCACCGGTACGGAGAAGGACTTGGTGGCGAAGGACTACGCGAGGATTGTCATGAAAGCTTTCGACAGCACTTTTGACGTGATCAGCTCCGCGCTGAAGTAAGTTCTTCGCCGAGCCGACTCCCAACCGTTTCTCTTTTGTAGTCAACTTCTAGGTGGTAACCAGGTGGTATTCCGTCCGTGTCTTATGGCCAATGTCAGTCAGTGCGAAGAGACGCGCAGGGAGAAATTCGTAGTCGCCGTTTATAATCCTCTCAGTCGAAGGGTCTCCCACCACGTTCGCTTACCGATCGACTCCGAGTTCGTCGCGGTCACCGATCTCGACGGTAACGCGGTGCAATGGCAAATCACACCACGCATCGATGCGTTCGCGAATATTCCCAACGTTCACATCGCGAAATACGACTTGGTCTTCCTCGCTGAAAATCTACCACCGCTCGGCGCTAAGCTATTCCACGTCGTCACCAAATCCGGACAGAACGCCCCAATAACGCCGGTCCCTGCTGATCAAGCGTACGAGCTGGGAGACAGCGTAAGTTCATTGCTGCCCTCCAGCCAATTCAATGACCTTCTTGATTTCCTCGGTTTCTTCTGGAATCTCTAGGTCTTCTTAGAATTTGCGGACCTGATTCAGAACAAACATTGGGTACTCTTCGACTCGAGGTTAATTAACGTGTGGTGCATTTTAGATTCACGGCGTGAAACTCGACAAGACCACCGGACTGCTCCAGAACGTCACTTTGCACGACAAAACGCTGGGCGTTAAACAAGAACTGATGTTTTACTTCAGCGCGCAGGGCAATAACCAAGGTGCTGAAAACCGCGCTTCGGGAGCGTACATCTTTCGACCCGATGCCAGCCAACCGACCGCTCTACCCTTAGAAAACGCGGTCAATGTAACTACATTCAAAGGGCCGCTACTGGACGAGGTCCACCAACATTTCGGGAACTGGGCGAAACAGATTATCAGAGTTTACAAGGGCGCGAGGGACCACATCGAGTTTGATTGGCTCGTGGGGCCGATTGACGTCAGGTATTGGCCGTGGTAGTCTTGATGCTGTGCGTGATGATTAAGTTTTGTAGCGACGGAAAGGGGAAGGAGGTGATATCGCGCTTCCAACTGCAATCGTTCGGATCCAAAGAGAACGTGTTTTACACCGACTCCAATGGGCGCGAGTTGATTAGGCGAAAGAAGAATTATAGGGAAACCTTCGAGTACACGGACGAGGAGAAGGTGGCGGGAAATTACTTTCCGGTCACCTCCAGCTTATCGCTAGTGGATGACGTTACCAAAATGGAGGCCGCTGTTCTAACAGACCGCGCGCAAGGGGGTGGCAGTTTAGAAGCGGGCCAGCTCGAGCTGATGATTCACAGACGGTTGCTGCGCGATGACGCCTTCGGCGTGGAACAGGCCCTCAACGAGGAAGAGTTTGGTAACGGACTTAGAGTGAGAGGACAGCACTTCTTTACATTTGGTACGTTTCATCTGACAGTTGGAAGTAATAACCTTTAATCTAGGAGCTACGAGCCGAGTACGGAGAGATATTGCCCAACAAAAAATCCTGGCATCCTGGGCGTTTGTGGCCGACGGCTCCAGTGGCCTCCCCAAGATACAATCTGAGGTGGGCCTCTACCACTCCCTTGCCTCAACTGACTAACGATCATTTTCCAGTTTTCGCTCCTCACGCGAGAACTTCCAGCGCAAGTGCAACTTCTAACCTTGGAACATTGGAGCGAGAACGAAGTACTTTTACGATTCGAGCACATCCTTGAAGCCAGCGAGGGAGGATGCGAGCAAACCGTCAACTTTCAGAACCTGTTCACGTTCTTCGACGTGACCGATCTGCAGGAGACCACGTTGGCGGCAAGCATGAAACTCGAAGAGCGCAAACAGATGCATTGGTCAAACAGTGGGTGCCTCTCTTGGGGGGAGACAACCTGCGAAAGGTCTACAGATCGCGTTGAACGAAAGCTGGACGTGGATATTAAGTTGGCGCCGATGCAGATTCGCACTTTTATAGCGACAGTTGAAGGGAAACGGATTAAGACCTACTGAAATTGCTCTCGGATTAATTCAAGTTTAGTGAGATCATAAAATGTAAAGTACAATGTGATTAAATTCAACCATCCATCCAAATTTTACAACTTGAGCTTTGATCAACAAATAAAATATTTTGTCTGTGCATCTTGCAACTACTGTCACGCTTTACTTAGAAGAGATTGGCCTGGATAATGCCGAACTCGCCTTCGGTATATGTATTTATATTTATCAGATCCAATATATTGCCGAGCGGGCCGAAGGCGAGTTCGGCACAACCCGGGCCAATCTCTTCGGCTCACTTGTACCTATTTAATTCGATTTGATAAGTTTCACGCCAGGAGATGGCGTTGCTGAGCGAATTGAAGGGTTTTGGCGTTGGAAAAGGTTTAGAAAACACTAGAGTAGCAACACTAAATAGTTTCTGAAAAGGAGAACGCTTCCACAGAGCAATTATAACGTAAAGATTTCGCGAGCTTTCCAAAATAAGAGCCAAAAACTTTGTCTCTAGGTAAAGGCATGGACAAGCATTTACGAATGCTGCAAAACGGAGACCCTAGACTGATCTAGAATGTTGTTTGGGTCTACTAGCTAATGTCTAATGGTTTTCAGCGGACACCAGACAGATGGCAGTCGTTTAAAGCGAAGCGCTTCTTTAGCCACAGCCATTTGCAGCGATTGTTTCCGGATGTGGCCCCGTTAACGATCTCCGAGCCACGACCCAGTATTAAACCCAAATGGGTTACTGACAATACGTAACAAAATTAACAGATTGTAATGTTTTTAATAATAATACACCTACTATTTACGCTATTTACTTTAACGCACTCAATTTCCGACCATCCAATTTTAATTGTCGTCTCCTTCGACGCGTTCAGGTACGATTACTTCGCGAAAAAGGTGACACCCAATCTTCTGAGGCTGAGAGAGAGAGGCTCCTATGCCGACTACATAAACAACGTCTTTCCGACGAAAACGTTCACAAACCACCATACGATCGCAACGGGTCTGTACGCAGAAAACCACGGGGTTCTCGGGAACAGTTACTACGACAAGATCAAGCAGATTTCCTTCAAAATCGGCTACGAGCTGTTTCACTACGATGAAACCATAATCCCGATTTGGGTAAGTCGCACCCGTGGTCGGCACGTGAATTGAATTTTGGGTATTTCTAGCGACTAAACGAGATGTCGGGTCACGGTCGGTTCTCGGGTAGTATGATGTGGCCAGGTGCTGCCTTTGAGTATCAAGGCAAATTGCCAACTCATCTACAGAAATTTGACCCAGAATGGAATTGGTACAAACGAGTCGATACTGTAAGTGGAATGATTGTGTTAGCACCTGATAAACCTAGAAATGAAGTTCCAACTGACCAAGGCACCCAATTTTTGCTAGTTCTAATTGCGCCCATAACAGGCATATAGTTCTAGACGAATTTTAGATCTAAGAAATGGGGTTCCAACTTCTTAGGGCACTTGAAAACTCACTTTTTGCTAGTTCTAATTGCATCCATAATAAATGCAGAGCTCTGGACCAATTTTAGGTTCAACAAATGAGGTTCCAACTCCTCAAGGGGTCCAATTTTTGCTAGTTCTAATTGTATCCATAATAAATGTATAGCTCTAGATGAATTTTACATTCAAGAAATGAGGTGCCAACTTCTCAGTGTAGTTGAAAACTCAATTTTTGCTAGTTCTAATTGCAGCCATAATAGGTGAATAGCTCTAGACGAATTTTAGATCCAAGAAATGACGTTCCAACTTAACAAGGCACTTGAAAACGTAATCTTTTGCTAGTTCTAATTGAACCCATAATAGGTGCAGAGCTCTGGACGAATTTTAAATTCAACAAATGAGGTTCTAACTGCTCAAGGCACCAAAAAAACCCAATTTTTGCTGGTTCTAATTGCACCCATAATAAATATATAGCTCTAGACGAATTTTAGACCCAGGAAATGATGTGCCAACTTCTCAGTGTATTTAAAAACTCAATTTTTTGCTAATTCTAAATGCACTCATAATAGATGTAGAGCTCTGGACGAATTTTAGATTCAATAAATGAGGTTCCAACTGCTCAAGGGACCGAAAAGCCCAATTTTTGCTAGTTCTAATTGCACCCATAATAGATGAATAGCTTTAGACGAATTTTAGACCCAGGAAATGAGGTTCCAACTTCTCAGTGCACTTAAAAATTCAATTTTTGCTAGTTCTACTTAGACCTATAATAGGTGTAGAGCTCTGGACCAATTTTAGATTCAACAAATGAGGTTCCAACTGCTCAAGGTACCGAAAAACTCAATTTTTGCTATTTTTAATTGAACCAACTTCACAAGATACTTGAAAACGTAATCTTTTGCTAGTTCTAATTGAACCCATAATGGGTGCAGAGCTCGGGACGAATTTTAGATTCAACCAATGAGATTCCAACTGCTCAAGGCACCAAAAAACCCAATTTTTGCTAGTTATAATTACAGCCATAATAGGTAAAGAGTTCTGAACGAATTTTAAATTCAACAAATGAGGTTCTCACTGCTCAAGGCACCAAAAAACCCAATTTTGCTGGTTCTAATTGCACCCATAATAAATATATAGAGCTAGACGAATTTTAAATCGAAGAAATGATGTGCCAACTTCTCAGTGTATTTGAAAACTCAATTTTTTGCTAGTTCTAATTGCACTCATAATAGATGTAGATCTCTGAACGAATTTTAGATTCAATAAATGAGGTTCCAACTGCTCAAGGCACCGAAAAACCCAGTTTTTGCTATTACTAATTGCACCCATAATAGGTGAATAGCTCTAGACGAATTTTAGACACAGGAAATGAGGTTCCAACTTCTCAGTGCACTTAAAAACTCAAATTTTTGCTAGTTCTACTTGCACCCATAATAGGTGTAGAGCTCTGGACCAATTTTAGATTCAACAAATGAGGTTCCAACTACTCAACCTACAGAAAAACCCAATTTTTGCTAGTTCTAATTGAACCCATAATGAATGTATAACTCTAGAAGAGTTTTAAATGCAAAATATGAGGTGTCATCTTCTCCGTGCAGTTGAAAACTCAATTTTTTGCTAGTTCTAATTGCACTAATAATAGGTGAAGAGTTCTGAACGAAATTTGTTGCTAGTTCTAATTGCACCCAAAAATAGGTGCAGAGCTCTAAACAAATTTTAAATCAAAGAAATGAGGTGACAACTTCTCAGTGCAGTTGAAAACTCAATTTTTTGCTAGTTCTAATTGCACACATAATAGGTCAATATCTCTAAACGAATTTTAGATCCAAGAATTAAGGTGCCAACGTCTCAGTGCAGTTGAAAACTCAATTTTTGCTAGTTCTAATTGCAGCCATAATAGGTGAATAGCTCTAGACGAATTTTAGATCCAAGAAATGAGAGTCCAACTTAACAAGGCACTTGAAAACGTAATCTTTTGCTAGTTCTAATTGAACCCATAATAGGTGCAGAGCTCTGGACCAATTTTAGATTCAACAAATGAGGTTCCAACTGCTCAAGGTACCGAAAAACTCAATTTTTGCTATTTTTAATTGAACCAACTTCACAAGATACTTGAAAACGTAATCTTTTGCTAGTTCTAATTGAACCCATAATGGATGCAGAGCTCTGGACGAATTTTAGATTCAACCAATGAGGTTCCAACTGCTCAAGGCACCAAAAAACCCAATTTTTGCTGGTTCTAATTGCACCCATAATAAATATATAGCTCTAGACGAATTTTAAATCCAAGAAATGATGTGCCAACTTCTCAGTGTATTTGAAAACTCAATTTTGTGCTAGTTCTAATTGCACTCATAATAGACGTAGAGCTCTGAACGAATTTTAGATTCAATAAATGAGGTTCCAACTGCTCAAGGCACCGAAAAACCTAATTTTTGCTATTACTAATTGAATCCATAATAGGTGCAGAGCTCTGGACCAATTTTAGATTCAACAAATGAGGTTCCAACTGCTCAAGGTACCGAAAAACTCAATTTTTGCTATTTCTAATTGAACCAACTTCACAAGATACTTGAAAACGTAATCTTTTGCTAGTTCTAATTGAACCCATAATGGGTGCAGAGCTCGGGACGAATTTTAGATTCAACCAATGAGGTTCCAACTGCTCAAGGCACCAAAAAACCCAATTTTTGCTAGTTCTAATTACAGCCATAATAGGTAAAGAGTTCTGAACGAATTTTAAATTCAACAAATGAGGTTCTCACTGCTCAAGGCACCAAAAAACCCAATTTTTGCTGGTTCTAATTGCACCCATAATAAATATATAGCTCTAGACGAATTTTAAATCGAAGAAATGATGTGCCAACTTCTCAGTGTATTTGAAAACTCAATTTTTTGCTAGTTGTAATTGCACTCATAATAGATGTAGAGCTCTGGACGAATTTTAGATTCAACAAATGAGATTCCAACTGCTCAAGGGACCGAAAAGCCCAATTTTTGCTAGTTCTAATTGCACCCATAATAGATGAATAGCTCTAGACGAATTTTAGACCCAGGAAATCAGGTTCCAACTTCTCAGTGCAACTCAATTTTTGCTAGTTCTACTTGCACCCATAATAGGTGTAGAGCTCTGGACCAATTTTAGATTCAACAAATGAGGTTCCAACTGCTCAAGGTACCGAAAAACTCAATTTTTACTATTTTTAATTGAACCAACTTCACAAGATACTTGAAAACGTAATCTTTTGCTAGTTCTAATTGAACCCATAATGGATGCAGAGCTCGGGACGAATTTTAGATTCAACCAATGAGGTTCCAACTGCTCAAGGCACCAAAAAACCCAATTTTTGCTAGTTCTAATTACAGCCATAATAGGTAAAGAGTTCTGAACGAATTTTTTGCTAGTTCTAATTGCACCCACAATATAAGTCATGGGAAATGACCGCAAACCATCAAACAGTTTATGTTATTCTTTAGGTCCTGAGTTGGATTGAGGATCCAACTAAGCCGGCCAATTTGGTTATGCTATACTTCGAGGAACCGGACACCCACGGTCACGCGTTCGGGCCGAAATCGAAGGAGGTCGTGGAAATGCTGCAGAGGTTGGACAACGTCAGCTATTACCTACACGTACGGCCGCCTCGCGCGAGACGTAAGCGACCTCGCTGAACGGTTTCATTTTAGGAGCAGCTGAAGCGAAAGGGTCTCACGGATAAGGTGAATGTGATCCACCTGAGCGACCACGGCATGACCACGGTCACGCCGGCGAATTTCATCGACTTTACCAAGTACTTAAAGCCGAATACGTACGAAATTGCGTGCACCTCGCCGGCGCTGCATGTTATTCCCAAACAGGGTACTTATTATCTCGTCCCTTCTCTAGGATTTATTTAAACAAAAAAGATTTCGAACCATGGACAGTTGACGGTATTTTTGAATTTAAATATACAGGGTGTATTGCTAATTTTCTACAGGGTGATTCAGAACAATTAGATTCAAGGTCACATTATAGGTATGGAAGAAGAAATCTACGCGCTTCTCAAGAACGCATCCCAAGATCTTGGTCATTTTACCGTCTACAAAAAGGACGCGATCCCATCGCGCTGGCGGTTCAAAAACAACCCGCGCGTGCCCCCGATCTACGTGGTCGCGGACGAGGGGTACGCATTTCAGGACATGTTCGAGTCGGTGAAGTATTTCTCCGGCAGGTACGGATTTCAAGGTACGCCGCCGAGCCTGCGACGAAACGAAATGTTAAGCGTGCGAGTTTCAGTTCGGAACGATTCCGAATTCGGCATTCACGGTTACGACAATCAGCTGCCCAGCATGCGCCCGTTCTTTTTGGCCGTCGGTCCTCAAATTAAGTCCAACCACAAGGTCGCCCCTTTCAACACCGTTGACTTGTTCACGCTCTTCTGCGCGATTTTAAATATCAAATCGACGAGGCACGACGGCATTTACAGCAATATCGAGAGCGTCCTCGTCGGGTACCACGCGAGCATGCTACCCATTGTCGTCATTATTGGTAGGTCTGAGAGAGGTTCATACAAATACAGACAGGGGGCAGCACTGTTGAATCATTTTCTTAAATTGCTCCTTGTTGCCTTTCAGTTGGCGGCGTGACCCTCGCTCTGCTTCTGATCGTGTGCGCCGCCGTCGCGACGCTCTTAATCATAAAGCGTCAGCAGAACATCACGACGGCCGCCGCTTTGAACAAGCGCTTTCCGCAAAATTTCAGCCACTCGACGATCGAGGCCCAACACTTACTCGAACCCGAAGATGCTTAATTGAGCGCGCGCGCGCACATTTCGTTACCGGATCTGTGATTTTTGTATTATTAATCTTAATTAGTTGAAGACTCCGCCCTCCCTAAGAATTAAGAATCGCTCAGTATAAAACATTCCGTCTTTGAATTTTGCTTTAGTAAATTGTGACAATAACTTTTGTCGATCTCGATTCGTAGAGATAGTCGGTGTAGCATTCAAAATTGTAGACGTACTTTCATGCGCATGGAAGGGCTTTGATTGTAGCTAAAATCTCATATTTTATCTTTTGATGTTGAATAGTAATAATTGTTATTGATGATAGTGTTTTATATTTATTTTGTTGTAAATTAACTTTGTCAATTTTCAAATGTACTACTTATGTATTATTATTGTTACCTCAATAAATCTTATACCTCTTGAAATTGTAGTTTGGACTGTTCATTTAGAATAGATTTACTTAGAGCGTCCGCCAAAATTAATAACGGTTTTGGGGAGTGGAGGAGTCCTCTCCCTATGGCCGTCCCTATACGAAACCCCATCATCTTTATCGCCAGAAGCCCCTGACAAGACGTCAACCTCATTGGCGAAAAGAGGCGAGATCAAGACGTCCAGTCTAAAAACACCCCTGACGATCCCTTTCTTCATCCAATACTCCCCAGAAGCTTTTCCACTATTTAGCGCATTTTTTAAGAATTAAAAACAAGTATAAATTGTGCACAACTCTTGTGCAGATAAAGCGCATTTTTTTAACCGAAATAGCTTTGTGAGTGCCCTCTTTCGACTGTTCTTGAGGTATAAGGGAATATACCCGATCACGATAAGAGGACGAGGAGGAGCGCTATGGTCGGTAGAAATTGATTCCTTTCGTTGAGACCTTTCATTAGAGTACCATGAAGGATAAAACTGATTCCATTCCCCCTCCCTCTCCCTCCACCCCGCACTTTGATAAGAGGACAGAATGAAGGGCAGTAGTTGGTAGAAAACGATTCCTTTCGTTGAGACCTTTAATTAGAATACAATGAGAGATCAAATTAATTTTTAACCCCCCAGGCCCCGGCGCTCACTGATCTCGAAAAAGAGTCGCACGGGAAAGTTAGAGTGTCTAAATCTGTGGTTATAGTTCGTACAAACCAATTTATTTCGATGAGACCTTTCATTAGAATCCCATGAAGGGTAGAACATGTGTTTACCCCCCCCCCCCCAATCCCATTTCCTAAAGATTAACTTAGCACCATGCAGGCGTATGCAAAATTTGAGACCAATTGGTGGTCGTATGTAAAAGGTATACACGTTCTACTTTCAAAAACAGCATCTCAGGAAATCTTCGGGGGGGGGGGGTGCCTAGTTAAACTTTAGAAAATGGGGGGGGGGATAAACACATGTTCTACTCTTCATGGTATTCTAATGAAAGGTCTCATCGAAATAAATTGGTTTGTACAAAGTATAACTTTCCGGAGCGACTCTTTTTCGAGATCAGTGAGTGAAGGGGGGGGGGGGGGGTTAAAGATTAATTTTATCTCTCATTGTATTCTAATTAAAGGTCTCAACGAAAGGAACCGTTTTCTACCCACTACTGCCCTTCATTCTGTCCTCTTCTCAAAGTACGGGGTGGAGATGGAGGGGGGGGGGGGGGAACTAGTTTTATCCTTCATGTTACTCTAATGAAAGGAATTAATTTCTACCAATCATAGCCCTCCTCCCCGACCTCTTTATAGTCTTATCGTGATCGGATATATTCCCTTATACCTCAAGAACGGATTGTCGGAAGAGGGCACTCCCAAAGGGCGATCGAGACGTTTGTAAGAAATATATCCATTGGTGATGTCAAAGAAAAGCTATTTCGGTTTCAAAAATGCGCTTTATCTGCACAAGAGTTGTGCACAATTTATACTTGTTTTAAGAATCGAGTCTAAAAACCTCAAAAGACCTTTGAAGACATGTTGATCTCGTGTCTTGAAGCTTTGGGAGCTTTTATGAGTCTTTAAGGGTTTTAAGATCCTCTAATAGACCTCAATCAAAGGCCATCAAGTGTTCTAGACGCATTTAGACCCCTCGAGATTTCGATAGTTTTTTTGAGAGCGCGCCTCAAAAATTTTTGTGAGCCTTGATGAACCTTTTAAGAACGTCTTGAAGATCATTCAAGGTTCTTTCAGAGGCTTAAACGCCTTGAAAACCTTATATATTTATGTTATGTTCCAAGAGTTTAGGAATTTTTATGGCGGAATCCCTTATAAGGGTTTTTAAGAGACTTTAAAAGTCCCAGACAGTTAACAGAAGCGCTAATTTCTTCAAAAATCTTCCGACTTTTTTTGAGAACCGAGCTTTCAGGAGCTTTTGTGGGCTTTATTGACCTTGAAGAACATTTCAGAGTATTAAACGCTTTAAGGGCATAAGTTCATCTCATTTTTAAGCGTTTAGGAGATTTTTATGGGACCTTACGAGTTTTAAAAGTTGGTCCTAGATAGTCACCAGAAACCCCAAATTTCCTTCAAGAATCTTCCAGAAGCACTTAGAGGCTTCACGAGCTTTTGTGGATCGTAATGATCGTTTAAGTGTCTTGCAGACCATTTAAGATTATGCAGGCATATACCCTTTGAGGTTTTTTAAAAGCCTTTAAACCTCAGGCAATCATCACCAGAAGCCCTTTAATTTTCTTCAGGAATCTTTTGAGATTTCCTGAACTGAACTAAACCTTCAAGAGCTGTTGTGGGTTTTCGTGGGCTTTTAAGCGTCTTTATGAGCCTTAGAAAAACTCGAGGAGATAATTAGAACCTGTACTAATAAGAGTCGCAAGCCGTAACACCTAAAACACCACTATAGACCAAACGGTGGCGGGGATTCCCATAGAAAAGATGGGAAGAGTGGAGCAGAGACAAACACAAAATGAAGACAGAAAGCAGACGAGTAGGTATATTAACGGAGGTGGAGGAAGAATCAGACATAAGCACAAGCAACAAAGAGGAGGACAACAATAAGAAAAAGGGAGAAACAAAAAGGAAAGAAACGAGACTGTTGTTTGGCATATGTCGTGGCCCAGCGCAATGGCAACAAAAGTGGTAGAGATACACCCCTGCTAGTTCCCCACGACAGTTAACTAAATTCTGGAAGAGGCGGCTACGCCATCAGGCATATGTCCAAGTTTCAAGTATCAAGACAAAGTTCTTGAGGACTAAAAAAAGGAGTTTGAGGGCAAATTTCGGAACGTTGGAAATATTAGAGACTCTTTGAATTGAAAAAAAGTTTTGATTTGGTGCCAAAAACTTATGTACGTGTCAACGGTATTTTTGTTAAAAAAATCCTCCCCGGCGGGGAATCGAACCCCGGTCTCCCGCGTGACAGGCGGGGATACTGACCACTATACTACCGAGGACTTGTGAAGGGAACGGTGCGGCACATAGGGATAACTGTACCAATTAAACGTATTTTTGAATTAAGATAATTAATAAACTGAATAGTAATGAATACGTTCAAAGGACGTAATATAACAACAGATTTGTCAACCGAACACTTCACAATGGGCGATTTACCGACAGAATAGCTAATTTAGTTGCAACATCCTCGAGGAGGTTTCCGGCAGCGCAGCTTCTGTTTCCAAATTGCAAAGGCGCGGTTGCAATTAACCTTCCCAAATCCCATTTCAAAACGTAATACCCCTTAATAACAACATATACCGGATACACGAAAATCAATTACACAAAAGAAACCCGAAGGGGGTCAAACTTTGAAACAATCAAATTTTCTTATGCAACTGCATCACGTACGAAGCTGACAGAGTCTTGGACTTGCATATCAATAAACCCATAAAAGTATAAATACGTCGATCGGATCCGATAATTTGTCAGTAAATCGCAATGAAGCTGCTTGGGTTCGCGCTGATGGTGTTAGTCGAGCTGGTGCTAGGACAGGCGCCGTACCCGCCGAGGGGTTACCGACCGCCGGGGCCGCAGTTCGAGCTGCCCGTCAGGAAAGCCAACCCGAATCCGCCCCAGCCCCAGCGCACGTACGGATCGCCCCAATTCGCGCTGCCGACCCTCGAGCCGGCCGACTTCCGTACCGGTCAGAGCGCGCAGGAGAATCGCAACCAGCAAAGAGGTTTCCCGGCGAGGGAGTACGGCTTTCCCGACGATACCGTCGCGATACAATCGGCCGGCGCGATCGAGCCGAGCCGTCAGTACGGCGCGCCGAGCGCCCGCGTCCAGAAAAATCGCGAAAGGCCCGAGACTTTCACAACAGGCGACGACGAGGACGTGGTCGGCGTCGGAAATCAAAACTACCCCAAGCCGACGGTCGCGTCCCGAGCTGAGGTAAGCGCTAACATGGGAGATACACGTGGGGTTTGTACGAGCATGTTTCAGAAACCCGTCGCACCGCAGGAGGCGGAAGAAGGCGGCGATTCCAGCGTGGCGATCGCGAACGCCGTAGCTAACAGGGGTCAATACTATTTTCTGGGCCCCAGCGAAATGTTTCAAAGGATTATGGTCGAGGATAGAAGAGGCGGCGGCGGTCAGCCGTCGAGGCTGTTGCTGCAGAACATCGCTCAGCTTATGAGTCCGTTGTACGGCTATAACAATCCAATGCTGATTACGCTAATTTAATTGTTATTTTATATTAAGCAAAAAGAGTAAGATGAAATTGTGTCGCTTCTTTTATGGGCACCTGGCGCCTTTATGAACCTTATTTTCCTACGCTCCGCTGAAGCACCCAAACAGGTCACGGAAGTACATGAACTCAAAAGATGTCTGGGAGGCTCAAAAAATTATGAGGAAGCCTTCCCAGAACCTCTTTGTTATGCTTGGACGCTTTGAATTTGTTTAATTGATCAAAATCAAATTTCGAATAGGTATATAATTAAATTAATTCAATTAAATCCGCGAAACCGCAAAAATAATGGATCACTCAGAGAGCGAGTCCACGAATTTCACCGATCAAAAGAAAAACCGAAAATATAATCTGTTAATTTGATTTTATTAAAACCTCAAAATTTTTACACATTCTGAAGAATTACTAAAGGAATTGAATTTAAAATCTGTTTGTCGGTCCATAGATTGTCTGCTTTTTCGTCGTTCGTCTTGTGTATTTTTGAGAAAACGTGAACTGAATGAAACTCGACCATTTTGAGTTTTTTTAACAATCCGAAATGAAGCATAACGGCCGCGCACGTGACCAGGGTTTTTTCGCCAGGAAAAGAGGACGATCTTGCACCATAAAACAAGGTCATTCTCCTTTGAAGGATTTTAAGAGGATTTATTGGCGCAAATGTGTTCTCTCTGGCACGTTACAATGATCTTCCAAAATTTCAAAGGCTTTTAAAGCCCTTTAAGAATCTCTATGAACCTCTTATTGGATTCAAGAGGGCCGAAGAGTTTCCTAGAAGCTCTATTAAGAGTCTTAAAGCGTGTTTAAAGATTTTGAAGATTTTTAAGGGCCTTGATTAGTTACCAAATGTTCCTTCTCCTTGAATTTTTAATAATAGAATTTTAGAGGTCTTTAAAAACTAACAAGCTTCTTAGAGTGTTGGGAGTCCCTAAGTGGCTAGTAAAATTCATTTTTCAGAATATTTAATATCCGACCTTTTAGTGTCTTTAGAGGTGAATTTAAGGGTGTTTCAAAGTTTTTGTAAGTGACCAACACCTTCCACAAACCTCAAAGAGCCTATACCTGCAAAAGCCTTCAAAGGACTCTTAGGGTCTTTAAAGATGTTAAGGGCCTCCAAAGACTCTAAGCGTTTTTAGAGCTTTTAGAGTATTTCATAGTTGGCAAATATGTGCCCTTAAGTGTCTTTGGAGACTCTTGTAGATCTTTAAATCGTTTGTAAGAGTCGCTAAGAGTTGAGAACAGTAACCAAGAGCCACACAGAGTCTCTAAAACGCTTACTAAGGCTTTGAAGTTCTCGCCTTTTTTGGAAAGCCAAAACTTTAGGTTTTTTGAGCCTTTATTGTGAGCTTGTTGTAAAGGTTCTTTAAGTCTTTATTTATTAGTCTTTAAAAGTTTTCACTAGTTAGGTACCAAATGTAAAGCCATTAGGAGCTTTAAGAGCCCTTCAGAGTCTTTAAAAATTAATAACTTTTAAGAGTTCAGAATCTTGAAGAGCCTTAAGACTCTTTATGAGCTTGAAGTGATTTAAGGTTTTTCAAGAACTTTTAAAATATGACAGTCTTGAGACACTTGAAATTCTTCAAATCCTGGAGGTTTTCTGTTTCTGTAAATTCTTTAGATCCTTTAGTTTCTTCAAATTCTTCAGTTCTACCAAATCCGTGCTCAAATTTCTTTAAATTTTTAAGATTTGTATAACAGATTTTGGGGGCATTTAAAAGTCTATAAAAACATTTAAAAGTAGCAATAGGTTCCATTTGTACCCAATTTGTAGCATGTAAATTTATCACATACGAGCGCGAACTTCACTAATAATCACTTCGGCATCGATGTTTGAACTTTCATTAAACACAATTCGATTTGCTTATATAGCAATCGGGTAAGTTTCTAGAAAGATCACCGACATTGCCGAGAATTCCCGAACACCTACGAATCGCATTCTTCGGGGTCCGTTAACTTGGCCCCCCCACTAAGAGATTCCATAGTCGTATTATTTTGAAATGAATGCGCTCGTTATGCGCTCATATGCGCCACCGATAATAACTCTTGCGCCATTATCGTTTTTTAAAAATCCGAAAAAACATTTGGGGGGGCCAAGTGAACGTAGCCCCCCTCCCTAATACGTACGTTGTCGCTTGTAACTAGGTCAACTGATACATTTGGTTATGCGCTCAATTGCGCCACTTGAATTAAAGCTAGCGCCATTACGGTTAAGCCGTGACAAATTTTCAAAAAGCAACTTAACGTTTTTAAAAGTTACTTTTTTTTAACATCTTTTCATACGAAATTGTACTCTCAGGTATGCGCTGAAATGCGCCGTAAAAAGATATCTTTGCGCCATTATTGTTTTTTGGTTATCCTTAAATATATTTGGGGGGGGGGGGGCAAGTGAACGGAATCCCCCATAACGCATTTTGCTACCGGTATTTGTGCCGATACATCTGGTTATGAGCTCAATTGCGCCACTTGAATTAAAGCTAGCGCCATTACGGTTAAAAAGTGGAGGGTCTAACTTAGCGTTTTCAAAAGTTATTTCCGGAAGTGCGTCCATTTTGAAAATATTTTACATCGATTCGGCCTTCGGAGTAACTCCTAAATACAAATTTTTAAAAACCTACCTATTTTACTTTCCCAGAATCGTTTAACTAAAGCTCCCAAAAAACACCCTGTATAGTGTTTCTGAAACACTGTAATGGCGCCAAGATTTTTGTTTACGGCGCATTTAGCGCATGATGAAAGGTACGATGTGGTAGAAAAAACATGTTAAAAAACGTAACTTCCGGAAATAACTTTTGAAAACGTTAAGTTAGCCCCCCCCTCCCCTACTTTTTAAAATTTTTTTATGGCTTAACCGTAATGGCGCTAGCTTTAATTCAAGTGGCGCAATTGAGCTCATAACCAGATGTATCAAGTGGCACAAATACCGGTAGCAAAATGCGTTATGGGGGATTCCGTTCACTTGCCCCCCCCCTCCCAAATATATTTAAGGATAACCAAAAACAATAATGGCGCAAAGATATGTTTTTACGGCGCATTTCAGCGCATACCTGAGAGTACAATTTCGTATGAAAAGATGTTAAAAAAAAGTAACTTTTAAAAACGTTAAGTTGGCCCCCCACTTTTTGAAAATTTGTCACGGCTTAACCGTAATGGCGCTAGCTTTAATTCAAGTGGCGCAATTGAGCGCATAACCAAATGTATCAGGTGACCTAGTTACAAGCGACAAAATACGTACTGAGGGGGCTACGTTCACTTGCCCCCCCCCCCAAATGTTTTTTCGGATTTCTAAAAAACGATAATGGCGCAAGAGTTATTATCGGTGGCGCATATGAGCGCATAACGAGCGCATTCATTTCAAAATAATACGACTATGAAATCTCTCAGTGGGGGGACCAAGTTAACGGACCCCATTCTTCGGAAAGAACATCCGTTTTCGTTCCTTTTATCGCCCATGATAGTTAACTTTAAATGGTCTTTAAGAGGTATTATTGATGTTTAGGGGCATTCATGGTCTCCACTGCGATTTAGTATCTTTAGGGCATCTAACAGGACCCTTCAGAACTTTTAATAATCTTTAAGAGTATTGAATATTGAATCTCAAGACGCCTTCGAGGCCCTTTACAAATTTTAATCGTCTTTGTTAAAGTCACTAGATATAGAAAGTACCGCAATCATCCGCCATTTTTGGGCAAATTTGCTGCCAACTTAAAAAAATTGACAAATAAAATCTGAATAGCATTTTTTAGTCTTTGTGTGCATTTGAGGGCCGCAAACTATTGATAAAGAGCCTCTCTAAAGTTCAATAAAAGTCTAAAAAGATCATATAAAAACCTTTAAAAGTTGCCTTCAGAGTCAGCTTTCATCAGAGCTTTTAATTGGGTTTTAAAGTATTGGAAAGTCCTTAATACTGTTTAAGAAACTTGTCTTCAGTCTTTAAGGTTCGTTAAGTATCTTAAAAAATCTCTAAAAGACGCAAACAGTTTCCAAAAACCTCAACGGGTATTCAACAATATTCCAAAAGCTTGTTGATTGAGATTTAATCCATTGTTTACAATACGACTCTTCAAAAACCATTGAGAGCTTTTAAGCGCCTTGAAGAGTCTTTTAGGGCATCCAAAGATGTTCTAACAACTTTCAAGGGTCGAGATTTTATTAATATTCGAGAGCCTTTAAGAGATTATAAAAGTTTTGAGTTCTTGACATGCCCTACAGCCCTTAAGAATTCTCCAGATTGCTAACTAATAGACTCCCAAATCTCAAGAGAACTAAAGGACAGTGGAGATCATTGCAAAAGTGACCACATAAAACTAATGAAAGCTATTAAAGATCAATAACGCCTCTTAAAAGCCTTTCAAAATTCTTTAAATTTTATCAAGACAACGCTTGAGTCCCTATGGTCCTCTGAGCCTAGCTCCTGATCCATTGGTGATCGTCAAGGCCGAATTCAACAACGCATGCTTCACGAGGGGACAGCCCGTCGTTCCGGAGCGTTTAGTGAAAATGTCAGTTATTCCTGTAATAGGATTATTACCTTAGTTCTTTATATATAGAGGCCATCCGAGCGTTTCTTTTACAATAGTTCTTTGTTTCGCCGCTAGAGGTCGTGCAGATGTTTTTCCATGATACTTTTAATGCAATTTTTTCGTTCCTTCCGCGCAGTTAAGATCTCACCTTCGTATTGGTAGCAAACAAATCATTACTTTTTTACTTGACTACCTGAATAAGGGGCTTATGGTATTGGCTATCACCATATTTTTTGGAATTATTTTTCTCTATTTCTGATGTGCTGTGGCTGTGCTCTTGGAAGCGTTTCGATACTGTTTGCGACACTCAAGGTCTCTGAAAGCTATTAAAAGACTGTAGAGACTCTGAATCATTTGTTTTCTCATAAATGCTCTCAAAGACCAACCAATAAGCCTTCGCAAATGTTTCTTAAAAAAACTGTTAAAGGCCCTTAAAGGTTCTAAAGTCGCAGGAAGGCTCTTGGAAATTTGTTGAAGATTCTTGGAACTTCTTGAAGCTTTTAAAGGCAACGCTCTTTAGAAAGAAAGCTCGTAGAGACACATGGTCGTTCTTTAAAATCATCAAAAATTCTTGAATGCGCTTGAAGATAGTTCATTAATATAAATTTACGAAACCAAATAATCTGGCGATGTCGAGTTCCATTTTAAAATATTTTCTTGGTAAATGCGCACGCCACTGCTTTTTGACGGAAACAACCTTGAAGGAAGCTCCTAACCTCAAACTTGGATTGTAAACACTTGAACTTTGTTTTATTATTAATTTACTGTTAATTTGTTATTAATTAATTAATTATTGCACACGTAAGCAACCTTTACCTTGTACTGCATGCACGGGGCATTCTGCTATTGGTCATTGCGCCTTCCACACCTGAGACATGCGTTGCAATGTTGTCAATTACCTCATTTTCACCTGCAGTAATTGCTAATTAGGTATTTCCTTAGAATAGGAAAGTTGCTGTATCATCCTAATTTAACGCAGTGATGTACAAAATGCTCGTCAACACGCTTCTTCCTAGCACCCCTTACATTTTGCTTACCCTCACACTCTCATTGCACTTTCTTAACGTGTAAGTAGATCGCACATTTTGTTCGTCGGCCACCCCCTCAGTAGCCTACACTGTGTTTTATTGTAGAATTTCGTTGTGCACGTTAAATACGCTTCTGGTCGTCTTCGTGCTGGTATTTCTCCTGGGCCCGCTCGCCTACAAGTACTCGTACCAATTTCAGCAGTCGACGATATTCCTAAACTTCGGTAAGTGAGCCCGATCCGAGCGGCACCTCACTCCATCCGTTACAGTCGCCTACCCGTCTCAATCGATTTTGAAATACCCGTCGAGATGCGGTCTGACTGCTGTCTCGCACTTCCACTTGAGGACCGACGACGACGTCACTCTAGGCGTGTGGTACGTCGCCCCCGAAAACGAGTCGAGGGACTGGGGCGAGGGTAAAGACCACAGTTCGTTGCTGGGCGACGGTCGAGACGTCGTGATTTACCATCACGGCAACGCGGGCAATAGGTCGGCCTCGCACCGCATCGAGCTGTACAAGATTTTGAGGAGGCAGTTTCATGTGATCGCGTTCGACTATCGCGGTAAGTGAAGTTAGCTCTTTAAGGTTCACTCAGAGGACTCATTTGATGACTCGGGGTATGCCTTTAAAGACTCGGTGACTCTTTGGAAGGCTTTTGAGGACTACAATGCACTTGGTATGTCTAAAGTGTCAATAGTCTTAAAGGTTCTTGATGATTCTGGTATCAAAGACTTTTTAAGAGTTGTAAAGAGCCTTTAAAGGCATGCTGGACCATTACCAATTCCAAATTCGTGAAGGCTCCTAAAGATCAATAAGGCTCTCTAGATGACAAAACATTTTCTAACTCGTGAAGGCGTTTAAAGACCAATAAAGCCTTTTAAAGTCTCTTTAAGACATGGAACATTACTTTAGGTTTTTAAAGGTTCTTTGATTTTTTAAAGATTAAAACATTTGGAGGCCTTTGAAGGTTTTAGCAACTCACAAAGGTTTAAAAAGATCCTTAAATGCACTTATAACCCTTTATAGCTTATAAAGGGCTTAAGGTTCTTCAAAATTCAAAGGTTATTAAGAGCTTAAAGGTTCTTCTAATGGCTTAGACGCTCTAAGGCTATTAAAAGGTCAAGGGGACAATTGCAACACCTTGAAGAGAGCATTTGAAGATTCTTTGAGGCCCGGGTTTTAAATTTGAAGATTCAGATATTGAAGACTTATACACCAGTAAGTAGGTATATATAAAAACTCTTAAAGGCTTCAGAGCCTTGTAGACTTTCTGGGCCTTTAGGAAGGTTTGTACAAGTTTTTAATGACCATAAAATGCACCCTCAAAACTCCCAAAGAGCCTTAAAAGATTCGAAGATTAAATGACTCTCCGAAGGTCTATTGCTAGGTTCTAATAAGGCTACCAAAAAGACGCGAACTCCATGAGATGAAACGTTTGGTAAGTTATGAATATCAATAAAACTTCTTTTAAAACTCCTTCGCACTGTCAAATTTCATTAAAAGTTCACAGAAGGTCTTGAAGGTTGAGGAGAACGTTCTAACCTCATGGGGAGTGTTTTTTAATTTTCTGCAACGTTTCATAACCCGAGGATATAATGTAATTTAAGAACAGAATACAATATCGATTCACTCAATTACGAAATTGTAAGCTCATGGCTTCGCCTCGTTCTTCAATACAAACCATAAGAATTTTAAATAAACTGCTTCAAAAACTGGACACTAGCAACACAATCCCTGAATTAACTTCAGAGTGTAGCGAATTTTCTAGAACGTTATCAAGGCGCCATCAGGTCGCTATCAATTCGATTAGGGATTAGTCACCGGCGATAAGGAATAAAAGGAGATGTACCTTGGTCCCAGCTTACCATTCGATTCCATGTATTGTTATGGGGAAATTCTATTACTAATTGGGTCTGCGTCTGATGTACGGCCGTCTCCGGTCTCCATCGCGTACTAGAGCGCGCTGATGAAGTTTTTGGAAAACCAAAAGGTAACACTATCGGCGAAAAAGAACAATGCCAGAGAAGGTGAAGGTATCAAGAAACAACAACAGGGAATAGAGATGACCTCCATACCGTACTGTAAGCCTACCGTTGAAACAAGAAGCTCAGGAGTTGGGGGGGGGGGGCACAAAGAAAAAGTTTTTCTACGAACGGGACTTCGAATCCCCTCGCGAGCACTACTTCCGCACCATATCAAGCAGTAAGGATCCTGAAACTATTAACAGAAAACGAAGCTGGGCGTTTCCAACCCGGTTTTGATGTATAAATGTACTACCTTCCAAGAAGATCTCACGCAAGTCACCTATGTGAACTTGGCCCCCCAACTTTAGAAAGCATAATAGTTTTCATGATTGAAATGGATTGCGCTTCGTTTGCGCACAATTGCATTTTGTTTGCGCGCTGCCGGTTTCAAAATTACGAAGGAATCAAATTCTTGGGGGGGGGGGGGGGCAACTTCACGACTGCGCCCCAAGTTTACAAATTTCACTTTTTTCTTGTGATGGTTTGCGCATATGTTTGCGCTCCCAATACCTTCGTTCGCGCCCCCGTCGTTTTTGAGTTATTCCAAATACAAAATTCCATACTGGCCCCCATTTTCCAAATTTGGCGGTTTCTTTCTTTTGATCGTTTGCGTTTCGTTTGCGCACGTTTGCCCACAATTGCATTTTGTTTGCGCGCTGCCGGTTTCAAAATTACGAAGGAATCAAATTGGGGGGGCCAACTTCACGACTGCCCCCAAAGTTTACAAATTTCACTTTTTTTTTTCTTGTGATCGTTTGAGCTTCGTTTGCGCATGTTTGCGCTCCCAATATATCCTTACATTCTATTCTGTATGAAGAGGGTCTGACAAGCCTGAGTAGCCCACCTCCGGGGTCCCTGTAGTCACGATGTCAGAGGAATGAAACACGATGACTTTTTAGCGCATTTTACAACTAAGTTAGGTGCGCTGTTGCAGCCACTTCCTCTGTCCGTCCGCCTGTCCGTCTGTCCGAGGCCTTAACTACTCATACAGTTTCCAAGATATTCGTTCTTTTTGCATTCGCTAGCATATGGCTCTGGCACCTGATCAAAAAAATATTTTGACGATGCGCAGGCTGCGCAATATCAACTTTCTTATTTATTAATAGTTTTGTTGANTTTGCCAACAATTGCATTTTGTTTGCGCGCCGCCGGTTTCAAAATTACGAAGGAATCAAATTTGGGGGGGGGGGGCAACTTCACGACTGCCCCCCATGTTTACAAATTTGACATTTTTTTTCTTGTGATCGTTTGCGCTTCGTTTGCGCATGTTTGCGCTCCCAATATCTTCGTTCGCGGCCCCGTCGTTTTTGAGTTATTCCAAATACAAAATTCCATACTGGCCCTCCATTTTCCAAATTTGGCGGTTTTTTTCTTTTGATCGTTTGCGTTTCGTTTGCCCACAATTGCATTTTGTTTGCGCGCTGCCGGTTTCAAAATTACGAAGGAATCAAATTTGGGGGGGGGGGCAACTTCACGACTGCCCCCCATGTTTTCAAATTTGACATTTTTTTTCTTGTGATCGTTTGCGCATGTTTGCGCTCCCAATACCTTCGTTCGCGCCCCCGTCGTTTTTGAGTTATTCCAAATACAAAATTCCATACTGGCCCTCCATTTTCCAAATTTGGCGGTTTTTTTCTTTTGATCGTTTGCGTTTCGTTTGCGCACAATTGCATTTTGTTTGCGCGCTGCCGGTTTCAAAATTACGAAGGAATCAAATTCGGGAGGGCCAACTTCACGACTGCCCCCAAAGTTTACAAATTTCATTTTTTTTTTCTTGTGATCGTTTGCGCTTCGTTTGCGCATGTTTGCGCTACCAATACCTTCGTTTGCGCCCCCGTCGTTTTTGAGTTATTCCAAATACAAAATTCCATACTGGCCCCCCATTTTTCAAATTTGCCATTTTTTTCCATTTCATCGTTTGCGCTACGTTTGCGCACAATTGCATTTTGTTTGCGCGCTGCCGGTTTTAAAATTACGAAGGAATCGTTTGCGCATGTTTGCACTCCCAATACCTTCGTTCGCGCCCCCGTCGTTTTTGAGTTATTCCAAATACAAAATTCCATACTGGCCCCCCATTTTTCAAATTTGGCTGTTTTTTTCTTTTGATCGTTTGCGTTTCGTTTGCGCACGTTTGCCAACAATTGCATTTTGTTTGCGCGCCGCCGGTTTCAAAATTACGAAGGAATCAAATTTGGGGGGGGGGGGCAACTTCACGACTGCCCCCCATGTTTACAAATTTGACATTTTTTTTCTTGTGATCGTTTGCGCTTCGTTTGCGCATGTTTGCGCTCCCAATATCTTCGTTCGCGGCCCCCTCGTTTTTGAGTTATTCCAAATACAAAATTCCATACTGGTCCCCCATTTTTCAAATTTGTCGGTTTTTTTTCCTTTTGACCGTTTGCGTACGTTTGCGCAAAATTGCATTTTGTTTGCGCGCTGGCGATTTCAAAATTACGAAGGAATCAAGTTGCCTAAACAAATTAAATCAAGACTACCTACCTTTAATTAAAATGAATATAATTAATTTTTCTGTCTGCGTCTATCCATCGACATATGTGTCAATACTAAGCGCTAATATTGCAGGTGAGACAGAAAGGAAAACTCTCTCTCTCTATCGCGCTTCCGTTGGTCGCATACAAATTAAATTGAAAGAACGAATAAGATGCGTAACCGTAATAAGAGAGAGCTTTGCCTCTTGGTTTTCCCCTCTCTCTCTCACCTGCAGTATCCGCGCTTATAGCAAGGGCACGCGCAGTTCATTTCTATATGTCGATCCATTTGTCACATCAAGAGAGCGCATGCGTGTTACGATGCGTCCTTCTCTTTCACACGGAAATAATCCGGTTGCAATTTGAAGTTAGCGCGCGAGAGAGTGTATTGTTTTGTGTGAAAGAGAATGTCGCATCGAATGTAAGAGAGCGCGCATGCACTTTCTCCACGTGATAGAACCAGAAGAAATTAGGGATATCTTTGACTTAATTTGTTTTGGCAACCCATTTGCAATGTGTTGGTTTACATATTAAGATGGCTAAAAACATGTGTTTCAGTCGGTAAACAGATGAGCAAATAAGGCTCCATTACATTTTATATCTCGCAGTTCCAACAAATTCGTCAAATTGGTGCCGGAATACTCTAATTAATTATTTGAATAATGAACGAAGTATAAAATTCTAAACGATATATGAAATAAAAGCACGATTATTGAAACGGCGACCTTCGCTCCGGCAGTTATCGATCGTATCACTAATGCGATGTCCATTAAGTTCATGAAAAAAAGCACTTTACTGAACAAGTACTAAAAGGTAGTGATTGTGCCGTAAAGTGGTGGCAGTGTATACAGTAGGTAAACACATTAGCTCGCGTGTATACCCACGCAATATATGAGTATGTTCAATTTGTCACTCAGCGCCTAACGATTCAGTTTGCGTATTGTAATACCACGACAATGAAAGTTACAACGTTTGCACCATGTGTTATTTTTGTATCTTTCTTAATAAGCAGCACATGTAACATTTCATTGAAAAATAATCCGACGCCG